CTATGTGTGCCAGTCTTTAGGTCTACTTTGTCCTAGAACCTATCAACACCACATCAAATTACTGTAGAGAAAAAAGCCACACATGTAGCTCTTTGTTTAGACTGCATCACAGCAAGAAAGAAGAAACCTAACCAGCTCACAGCTAGGTGACCACCACATCCCTGTTTTTTAACACACTGAAATAAAAGGCCTTCCTTTCCACACAGGTTCAACCTCAGACCCCATGAGAATTGCTTTGTTACCGGTGGAGAAGGAGGAGCTATAAGGAGTGCTGTCTTAGGACTTTTTTTTTTTCCATCAAGTGTCCTTTGCCTTTATAAAGACGGATCAGAGCGTCTCCGGACAGGAACCCAGCATAGGTTAAGAATATTTAACTGCCGGGTCTTTCTTTCCCATTTGCAAATGGGAAACACAGCAACACAGATTCCTGCCCAAAGGAGCAGCCTGACACATTCATTGGCAAGTCACTGGTGACACGTTTTTAAAAGGACCAAGAGGGGAACTGTCTACATGCTTCAGGAGCACAGCCTTCACACCCTCTTGCTGGCACGCAGGAGTTGGACCGGTGGCTCCTGTTTCCGAGGAACATCATGCTGCAACACAGAGCAGCCCGCAGAGCCCAGCTTCACCCTCAATGGAAATACTGCTGACTCACTACTCTATTCAGCCGCGGGGTGAGGATGGGTTCTTCCAAGATTTGGAGGTCTAATACTGTTGCAGTATGACAGACTTCATTCTCACCTTCCGGGGGGAAGATACTGCCATGAACCAACCCTCTCCTGCAGAGTGCATGCAGCAGAATCTTCTTAATTCAGATTAAACAGAGAGTCCTTATAAAGGAGCTTAGCTTAAAATTAATTTGTATTATTTATAAGATGATACCCATGATTAAACTGTTACCATGAAAAAATGTAAGTGCAATTTAATAGGGTTACTTAAGAAGTGGAGTGCTTTCCAAGTATGTACAACTGTGGTACCCAATATTTATGCAAATTTAAAACTATTTTATTCATGAAAGCTAGTCCATTTTACCCTTTACTAGAAATAATCTCTGCCTAATTTTAGTTTAAAATTAAAAAAAAATATTTTTGCAGGATGTGAATCATACGTTTCACATCTGGAGACCAACTGCACACAACTAGTATAAATTAAGAGTTGCCACCACAGGAATTGAATATTATAATTTCTGCTCGGCTACAAGCCCAAGTTCCTCCCCCTTTAGAAGGACAAGGGTGATATCTGCAGAGTAGGACCAAACTAATCAAAGATTTGTGCCCCTACTCCAAGCCATATCTAACCCCAGGTCAGCTAATAGAGATAAGGCTAGAGATAAAGAGAGACATAGAGATAGATAAATAGATAGATAAACACACAAACAGATATAATACTAGTAGATTCTCAGACTTGGTTCTAGGCACCATTAGTATAGAAAATATTAATTCACAGGATTAAGTCTTTATTATTTATAATATTTGTACATCTTTATGGGGTAAATTATGGTAATTCAATAATATATACAATAATCAAATTATATATTATAATCAAATTAGTACAATAAGTATTTTCATCTCTTCAAACATTAGTCATTTTTGTGTGTTGGGAATTTTTTACTCTTCTAGTCATTTTGAAACATATCATAGATTGCTTTAACCAATAGTTAACTAAATGTGCAGAAGATGAACCAAGAGTAATTCCTAAGCTCTATATTTTGGTGCTCCTTACTAAATTTTTTTTTACATACCCCCCAACCCTGGACTACCCTGTCTCTAGTAATCACTATTCTATTCTTTTCATTGATAAGACTGACTTGCAAGTTTCCTCAAATGAGACAGAATAGATTATGTTTTCCTTTTTTTTGCCTGGCTTATTTCACTTGACAAAATCACCTCCAGTTCCATCCATATTTCTGTAAATGACAGGATTTCACTCTTCTTTGTGATTGAATAATATTTTCTTTGTGCACATATACAACATTTTATTTATTCATCCACTGAAGGGCATGTAAGTTGACTCCATATTTTAATGATTGTGAATAGTGCTCTAATAAACATGAGAGTAGAAGTAACTTTGGTATTACAGTTCCATCTCCTAGAATTTCTGGATCAGATGGTAGCTCCATTTTTAGCTTTTCTTGGAATCTCCTGTTTTCCATAATGGCTAATGATAATGTACTAATATCCATTCCCACTACTAATATATAAGAGTTCCCTTTGCTCCACATACTCATGAGCATTTGTCATTTTTTGTCTTCTTGACGCTAGCCCCTCTAACTCCGATGAGATGATCTCTCGTTGTGGTTTTGATCATCTTTCTCTCCTATCAGGTGTCACATTTGTCCATTACATTGATGGCATTATGCTGCTATCAAGGAAAGGGTTAAAATAATGAGAGTCATAATGCCTATCTTCACTAGGTGAACTTGGCTGTGTTCCATTTCTTATAAGGAGAGGCTGGCTACCCTGCCGTAGGAAAGAAATGTATTTATAGATACCCTTGAGTGCACTATCAGTGTATGTGTCCTTGAGTCTAGCCAGGGCTGGGAATGATTCCTTCCAGACACATAGGCCTGTTGGCACCATGTCACTTTTGTCTGAACACAGCACTTAAGAAACTACCATGTAACAACCACTGTTAATTCCTATCATTTTGTATTGAAATCCTGTATCATTTTTACTGTTTTTGCTTTGTTTTGTTTTTGTCTATGTTGTTGTTATTTTGTTATTGTTTTATTCTCTTTAAAACAAAGAAAAAGAAACTAATAAACTGGATGTGGTGCAGCGTTTTCTCTCTTGCCGGCCTAAGGTTCATGCTAGATCCTTCCCCCAGAGGATTTCCCCTTCATCTTTGGTGCTGTCTCCTGCCTCACTGCGGGATAATGTTACTTAACTATGCTCATATCTGCTGTACTTTAATGATAAACTCACTTTCATTTTTAAAAATCATTATGTAGCTCTTTTTGTGTGGATCTGAACCTAACAAATCCTTCATAGTTTATATACATATATAACATATATATGTATATTATATATATGTTATAAATATATACACACACAAATTTTACAAAAGTATTACAGTAAAATATACATCCCCATTAATCCCTATCAAAATACTCCACATTGCTTAAAACACACACAGCTCATCATTTTTGTCACTTTCTGAAGCAGTTTTGGAAGTCCTCTTTCAAGTGTCTTTAGTTGTTGTAGCTGCTTCAGCGTCCTGAACTGATTTAAAACTTTTACCTCTCGTAGTCATTTTGACTCTGGGCAAGGGTCAAAAGTCACACAGTGAATAGCTAGATGAGGCACACTGTAATGTTTCTTTTTGACAAACTGCTGTAAACATTTTGAATCAATTCAGGACAAAGAGGCAGCCATGAAAAGACACAATAGCAGACTTTCAGAACTGCTGCAGAAAGCAGCAAGAATGAGTGGGGTTAAGTCTGTTTGAAGTGAGGGGAAGTATTCCGAGGAGAATTAGTGGCAATGTGCCTTTTACTATAATAATTTTTATTTTTATTTAAATATTCACTGTAGTTTTTGATCACATTGCATACATATTGTATTGATTCTGTTCCTCTAGAGAACCCTAACCAATATGTCAAGGAAGTAAAGGACAGATTTGGAATTCACATGGAAGCTACCTTACTTTAAGGCTTATGATCCTAATTATTATATAATCTTTGCTCTCTGTCAGCCTATGATAGGAAAGTATAGCATTTATAAATTCATATTTGAAAGAGATCTTAAATAAGTCATTTAATTTTCTACCCATCCTCCATGCTCCATGAAGGAATTTCTTCTTTAGGGTCCCTGAAACAAAGACCAACCAGGATCTATTGGATAATTTCACTGCCAAAACTTCTTATCTTAGAAAAGAGTTCATTTCATTACAGGACTTCTACAATAGCTAAACAGATTTTTCTGATTCCAAAATGGCAGAGTAAAGATCTTTCTATCCCCTTTTTCCATAAAAATTTACCTGTAAACAGAAAGAACAACAAAAAGCAGAAAAATACTCTAATGAGACATCCAGAAGAACTGAATCCACAAATCCCAAGCCACAATTAAGAAGGACTAAACAAAAATATCTAATGGTAAATCATTCAACAGAGAAAATTGCACTTCACAGGAATGGAATTCTGTGGTAGTAGGAAACGCTACCAGTGATGGGTAACGTAATTTGCCTAGTAGGCTGAAAAGAAAAAGGACTTTGTGATTAACACTCAGCAAATGGTGATACTATTAAAGTGATGGTAAGAGAGAAGACATATACGTAGGAAGGTGTTCTGGAGGTTGGTAGGTTGTTGTTCATTTTAATCGGGAGAAGAAATAGCAGGAATTAGCAATGAAGAAACCCCAATACCATTTCACGAAACCAAGTCCTTTTAGCATTCCTGGGGAATATTCTCAGGAGAAATTTAACCAGAAAGGCTCAGGACTGAGGGCTACGAGGGCCAGAGGAAGACAAGCATAAGGGACAATGACAAAAGAAGGACATTAAAGAGGTAAGATTCCAGGATAAAAATCCCAGTGTCTAACATAATAAATGTAAAAAGATTCACATTAAATGCTATCATTGTAAAACTTCAGAACATTAGAGACAGAGAAAACATCCTAAAAGAGTCCAGAGAGGGAAAAAAAAAAAAAAAACAGATCATATGGAAGAATCAAGAAAAAGAATGACCTTGCTTGCTCCCCTTTCTTTCTCTCTTCTCTTTTTTGACTGTGTGTGTGTGTGTGTGTGTGTGTGTGTGTGTGTGTTACTGGGGATCTAGGTTGATCTAGGTGGGGGTGGAATTTGAGATTCTCCTAACTCAGCCTCCCAGAGCGCCAAGAATGCAGGCATGCACCACAATGCCCAGCTGATCTTGTACTTTTAAGAGAAAAAATAGAAAACTAAAAAGTAAGACAAAAATGCTCGGAGCTGGGGACGTAGCTTAGTGGCATAAGTGCTTGCCTGGCAAGCCAGAGGTCATGAGTTTGATTCTTGGTGCCAAAAAAAAAAAAAGTGAAAAACTGCTCTAATATTTTTATATAAAATATTTTCAACCTGTAAGTTTACATCGAGCCAAATCAAGGGTAACAATACCACAGGGTATTTCAGACACACAAAGTCTCTCAAAAATGCTCTCTCAGGCCACCCCTAGAGGATATGTTCCCTCAAATGAGGAAGTGAAGCAAGAAAGAGGAAAAATGGGAATCAAGAACTAGGAGAGAGTTAAAGGGAATTCCCAGGGTACCAGCAGAAGTGCTAGGCTTCCAGCTGTATGCAGGCCTACAAAGCCACCAGACCAGGCTAGAAGTGCTCAAGGTTCTGAAGCTATTTGTAGGTGGAGATGAAAGCTCCAAGGAAATGCTTCAATGTATAAATTATCTAGCAGATTTGACCTTGGGAAAATTACATATGGAGATAATTTACAGGGTTTCTGTGACATTTGGGAAGACAAAATAGTCTCAATACTAAGCACAGGAAAAGAAAATGCAATCATTAATTCCTGGAAAAAAAACAGAAAGTGACACGAGAATGGAATTATAATCATAGTATTCTACCTAGTTTAGCAGTGAGCATCATTTCAATAATGAAAGCGTAGACTATGAACTGAAATTGAGGTATATGTGATTTACAAGCTAGGTGTACAATGGGCAGCTGCAGAATTAGGTGTGGAAAAGTGCAAATGGGCTGTCTACGCACTAGAGATCCGAACGATGCAGTCAGAGGTGGGAGGCAGGAAGTTCACTGCAGTGTCCCACTGAGAGCTGAAAGATCTACACTAGAAGGCTGAAGGGTCTGTCTTGGAAGCCCGGAGATGGATGTCCCAAGGTGATGGCAAAGACTGGAGCTCCTCCAAAGAAATAGAAGCTAGACTTCCTTTTTCTCTCCTCTGTTTATTCCATTCAGCAAGTCTATTGGTTGGTGCAACTCACAGCCAGGTTGGTTCTTCTGTCTTCAGAAAATGCATTGAAGTTGACCCAGCCGTGAACTACCTACCATCAATACCATGAACTGAAAAGGACCTGTAGTCAGCAACACATTCATGTTACAAACAGACATTTGGGTTTGGCAAAGAACTGTCATATAAAAATAAGAATTGCCAATTTGGATTGCATTTATCGGTTTCATAGACTTTCAAGGTAATATACATTTGAAACAGGAAATTATATAACTATAAGCAAAAGAAATATACCAATTTTCGCCTTAGCCCAAGAAGAGGGGAAAAAAAATAAATCATAAACCAAACTGGAAACAAGCCAAGAAATAAGAAAAATGATTGTTGTCCAAAGGAAAGACAATAGTGAAAAAATTGCACTCACCAGGAAGCTATCTACTCGGGGTTTAAATTCTTTAAAAGAATGGAATATGGAGAGTCTGATATGATCTACCAGCTGCTTCTATTTTCTAAGCTCTGTCCCCTGGCAGCAGCTTCAGAAGCTAGGGGTGGATTTCTTTCTTGCTGTGTCATACCATGTTCCCTTCCCCACCCCCTCCGGCTGCCTCCATCGGAGCCTGTGCTGTGTGTGTGTGTGTGTGTGTGTGTGTGTGTGTGTGTGTGTGTTTGGTTTCCCTCTTCTCTGTAAGAACTCAGCCCGCCTGCCTGCTCCTGCTGTCGCTGCGGCTCTCACTTGCTTTTTGCTGCTTCCCTCCTGTCCTTTCTCTTCCTCCTTAGCTTGTCTTTGGGTGAGTATGACAAACACTCCTCCAAGCCCTGTGAGCAGATGTAAGCTGCAGTGTGTGATGTTCAAAACTTACAGCTTTGAGTTTGCCAATGACCTGTTGAGGAACTTTCCATTGTTGTACTTATAAGTAAAATGTGTTGTTCAGGGAGGGTTGTTGTGTTTGATAGTCTTCTGGGACTGCCAGTACAAGGGAAAACTTTTGTCTCGGAGGACAGGGGAAAGGCCCGTAAAATTTATGTATGAGAAAATTTAGAAATAATTTCTTTGCTATAAAATAGATTACTGTACATGGATAGCATAAAAGTAACAAAGTTCTTTTGACTTTTTCAGTCTTGTTAATTTGTCTTGAGGCCTCTTTTAGGAATTGACCTTTCTGAGGCTTACAATGGTTCAGTGATGCTGTTTTCAAATAAATATGGAACATGAGTTTAAAGAATATCCATGGAACTAAATATAAAAAAGAATTAACAACTGTGACATATGATGAATGAATAAATCAAATAGAAATAAAACCCTTGCGTGTAGCCTAACCACAGTAAAATTCCTATGGACAGGCAATTTTAAACTAATTGCTTTGAAGTTTGGTTTCCTTAGATATATTTCATCCTAAAATAATCTCCCCAACAGTTAAAAATCCCACTTACGGATTTAAACCAGTAAATCTTTATTGTTTCAATTAGATTTTAAAAATTATTCTCTTGATTTTCAAAGATGAAGTGCTAAATGCCATGACTCATTTTAGAAGAGCTGAAAATAACTTCTGGCTGGACAGCAGATGCCATGGGCCTTTCTCTGAGTTCAGGGGGAGCAAGAGTTATATATAGAGGAGTGCGTCCAGTACATAGAGGTCAGGATAAAGAAGCTGCACTGATGAAGACAATGAAGCTGCATACTGAATTATTTTATAATTAAACGGTTGAATTAAAATTGGTGAACTTATTTCCTTCTATGTAAAGGAGTTCTTGATGACAGTCATGGAAGGTGGTAATTTCTGAATATTGTATCTGAGTACAATATCTGAGAACTGTACTTTCTGCTCTTGTTGGTGTCCAAGTCTTTGATGCCTGCCTGAGGATGAGAGAAGGAAGCTGCGCAGTTTGGAGCAGATATGTTTTTGTTTTCATTTTTAGCCAACGCAACAGCAAACCTTGCCGCGGATATAGCTCAGTGGCATAGCACTTGTTTGGCCAGAGCAAGGTCCTGAGTTTGATTGCCAGTACCAAAAAAAAAAAACAAAAACAGCAAAACTTGTGAATTGTGATCCTGCCATATTTTTGTGCTGCTAATCAGCAAAACCACAACTAAAAGTGATTCACAAATAAAATAAACTGTAAGTTAAAGGCCTAAGCCAAATCTCTTACAACCCTAGCAATGGTAATATCCAGAAACCTGAAATCTTTGACTCAGCTTGTCCTCTGTCCTCTTTCCTAAGAGCCCATATTATGTCTGAATTGTTTTCCTGGTTCATCCTCTTACTGCTTATTACAGGCTGCTCTCTTGTCTTTTTTTTTGGTACTGGGTATCGAACTCAGGACCTTGTGCTTGCCAGGCAGGTGCTTATGCCACTGAGCTACATCCCTGGCCCTAGACTGCTCTTCTTAAAAATTACTATATCTTCCTAAAACTTCACAACTGAAAAGAAAAAGCTGCAATCCATTTTCTTCTAAAATAAGGTCAGTTTTTAGAGTGGAACAAAAGGATATAATAGAAATTTAAGGAATTAATACTATAAGAATCACTGCATTTCGATATTAGTTGGTTTATTTATACCTTCTCTCGTTGCTTGCCTTATTCCAGAACTGGTGCCAGTTGGAACCTCAGAAAAAGTGTTTTGCTGATTGATATCTGCTGTTGCCAATCTGAGAAAGAGAAAAAAGTAAAAAAGCAAGAAATATTAGCATAATAATGCCCTTACATCAACATATAGCAATCAAATCTTGCATTATCAATTAACATAGAGTTTAAGAACATTATATAAATGATTTTAGTATGTACAATAGCTTGTATTAAATGTTTTAACTTTGAAAAAAATGTATATATCTGTGTATCTCTAATGATTGTGATTCTATACAGAATTATATAAAATGTATCATAATATAAATTGGCTTGCCTAAGCTAAATGATAAATATGAGCACAAAAGACAACAGCATAAATTAATGTCAAATCAATTGCCAATTTGACAGTTTCACAAAGCAATGTCAATTGTAAGGGATACTACTGAAGACTGAGTATCAAACCAAACATATGCTAACAGTATGACTTGAGAAATGATTTCCCGCTGTTCCTGCCTTACTAAGAATAAAATCAATGATCTGTGAGAGGACATTCATTCTACGTTAGAAACCCTATTACCTGGTACTGATTTGGGAGATAGTCTCACCATTAATATATTACTGATTTAACTATAAAAAAAATCCTAACTTTGCTTACTACTAGGTATCACTCCAAGTATGGAGACTACTCACCCTGAGCAGCTCTCAGAACAATCAACACCTTCAGGGGATAGTTCGTCATCACCCAATCTCAATGGTCTGGGGAAGCAAGACAGTCAGGATTCTTCAACATCACTCCAAACACCAGAGCAGGAGGCAAGTGGGCACTCTGAAAATGGAGCCCATGATCTCTCTGAAGAGTTGAATCGACAGCTGGAAGACATCATAAGCATGTATGGGTCTGCTGCCAGTACCGTAGAGAAGGAGGGCCCAGCCAAGGCGAAGGAGCAGCCTGGAAGTGCAGAAGCTCCTGACAGTGAGGACAGAGACTGTGAGGAAACCACTGAAGAGGCTGAAAGAGAAGCCACTGCTTCTGGAGAACCGTCCATCGTCAAAGAGCCTGTCGGCAATAAAGAGCAAAAATTGGAAAAGAAAATCCTAAAAGGATTAGGCAAGTAGTTGTGTTCTAATATATCATTTTCATTTTTCCTAAAAAGGAGTACTTCAACCTTTACAAAAAGCCCGTCACAGCTTCCTCCGGGGGCTGCCCTAAATTTTCTTAGTTCCCATCCTTGACTCTTCAACAGAGCTCAAGTAAACTTTTAACGTGTGACCCATTTGCTCTGTCCCAGTGGCTTCTGATTGCTTTTAAGGGAAGACCAAAATGTCTATCATTTTCTAAGAATCTGACAAAACCTAGTAATGTCCCTTTTCCTGCCAGCCCACTCTACCCAACAGCCTCCCCTTTGTGAGCACTCTATCCCTGTCACCAACCCCGCTGCAGTCATTCTGATCTCTTTCAGTTCTTTGAACGCACTATCTCTCATCCCCCAAAGGCCTGTGCTCATGCTGTTTTTCTGTACCTAAAAATCTCTATCCACTCCCCACTGCCACCCCAGTTCAGCCTTTTGTACACTAAATCCTACTCATTTAGCTTGCAATTGACATGGGGTTTTAGTCCAAACCTAGATAAAGTCTTAAATTTTTTTAATCTTTATTGTACCATGCATCTTCCCTACATAATATTAACCATCATTTGAAATTATATACTTTTTATGGGGTTAATGTATGGCTTGCCTATTAGATCTTTGATCCCAAGGGTGAGGTGGTGTGCGTGCAAGTATTTAAATGTCTTTGGACACCTATTGCGTAGGACACATTCTAGGCTCAGTGGATACACGTTTAAAGAATCAATCAATGAATGAATGAACAGGAACATTATTCAAAGTGAAGTGAATGGAGTTTAAATATAAGCAAAATGTAAATACATATATACAAAGTTGTCAGTTAGATCATTTGATATTATATTCCATTATTAGAGAAAATATTTAAATGAAATACTACTCATCAGAAATGTACCAAGTGATTTCCACCAATATTTGCATAAGATATACACTTGCATTTTTAATACTTTATGGGTTCAGTGAGTATTTGTTAATCCCTTGTGTTTATGAGCTACTGTGCTATGTGCACAAAAATAAATAAGTAATGGCCCTTTAGTCAAGCAAGTCTAGGTATAGAAAGTAAAGGAGAAATGCAAACTCATTGTTACACAGGACAAGCGCAAAAACAGGTGGAGGAAAAGCTTCTTGAAGAGCATGGGGCATATACTAAAAATAGCTATGAAAAGTGAATATAATTTTGTGGATGGCTGAATACGTGTTACTATTCAGGGGCAAGTTCTACCTGTTTTCCCTCACTGAAACACACAGACGAGTACTCTCTCTTATGTGATCCTTTTCTTGGCATGCCCCCATAGCGTTAGCATCACCTTCCCTTGTCCTTGCTTAAATTTTCTGCAGCAATCGTTTGCATATACACCTGCCCTCCAAGCTATATGGAGACCCTATTAAGGGAAGTGATCTCATCTTACTCATTTTGAGAAGACAACATGGTACAGTGATAGATGGGAACTAGAGCCAGAACTGGATTCAAATTCCATTTTGGGTTTATTCTTTGTAAACCCAAAAGTATGTCTACTCTGGAGTAGGGTACCACTGTAACATTTAAAATTCATTGCTGCAATGCTTTCATGAAAGGCTAAGTGACACGTTACAATAACATACTTGACCCACCTAGCATAAAGATTAAAATAACCCAGGTAATACCATTAAAATTCTAAAGTAGAAAGTTCAAATCATTCTAGTGATTCTGGAGTGTTATAAAAACATAGCAAAGTTGGAAAGCAACTTTTCCCCTGTCTAATTTGAGTATCCCAGACATGTCCTTTGCACTATTATTAAAGTTTCCATAAGACAGTATGCAAAATTTTCACTCCAGAGGTTTTTCAAGTGTTGTAATAGTGCTTCCTAACCATTTGTTCTATTGTCCTAACATTTTTATAGTGGAATCAGTCCCCCTCCCCTGTGTGTGTGTGTGTGTGTGTGTGTGTGTGTGTGTGTATGTTGTATTGGGGTGAAAGATATGAATAGGGATAAAGTTAAAGATCACTGATTTTGGCTTCTACTTTCTCTTCCATAATCTTCCATAAGCTTATGATTAACAAATAATCAGAGTTTTTTAGAGTGCAGGAAAATTCCAGTTCTCCAGTACTACCACTTATAAGTCAGTAAGGTCCAACTAAATGTGTTTGTCTAAAGTCTCTCAATCAAAAGCCTACTCCAATCACAAGCACGGGGGTTGATGAACTTCCTGTACACCCCAATCAACATGGTTAGTATATTCTTTTAAGTTTTGGCCATAACACATGGAAACCAGGAAGAGCAGAGAGAGGCACACACGTGTATATTTAAGACCAAACTTTAGCCTCAAAGATTTAAAAAATCACTGTAAAAAGCCATAGTTTTGAAACATTAAATTTACATAAGTTATCACCAAATTCAGTATAAACTGTCTTTACTATGCTAAAAGTTCAAGAAAAATCCTGTGCCTTATTTCTCCAGCTGGTTCAGTTGTCTTCATTTCAGATTTTTCATTTCTTTGATGTCAAATATTTCCTCTGTGCTCCAGTACAATTGTGCCAGGGACCACAGCCACATGTGGCATTTTTGCTTTTGCTGCACAGGTGGTGTGATTTTCATGTGCGCTTCCAACCCAACTGAGCTTTCTGCAGTGTGCTGGCCATATGCCCACCACATGCTTCCCCAGATTTAATGGGAAGAAATAAAGCTTGCTTTGGAAGGACACATGAGGAAAAAGGGAAGTGGTCCCCTTCTGATAAGGTATCTCTGAATAAAGTCAGATTTTTCTCTTGAGTCTAACAGTGTCAGTAAATGACCTGCTTCCAGGGGAATGTAATTATAGCTTTTCTTAGAAGATGTGCAAGCCTCTGTCTGCTCCTCTAATCCATAAATATCCCACACAACAACCTAGTCCAACAAAACCAACAAAAATTTAAGGTCTTTGATGTCACAAATTTGTGAATTGTGCCCAGGCTTATCTCCAATTTCTTGGATTTTTTTTATTGAAGGGAGAAAAGCTTCCATGCAAAATAACAGGTGACTAAGCTGAAAAAGATCTCAGTGAGCAACAAGATTTAAAAACAAACAACAAAAACCTCTCCTTGCAGCTACTAAAAAATAACCTAATGAGAGAGTTACTTAACTTGGGGAGAAAGAACCAGTGCCCTCTCACAATTGTTTCTATCGCCCCTAAACAAGACGTGCAATAGTATCACATGTCGGTACTCATAGGCAGAGGTGTCCCAGCATTTGCCGAATGTCACAGGTGAGAATAAGGACAAAGCAGGACAGCTTTGATTTGATGAGCACAATACAGGTTTGTGCTGGTTGGTTTTGTTTTATTCTATTATTATTGATATCTGCAAAGCAGTTGGGCTAAACACTGTGCTGCTTCCTGGCCAAAACTAATCAACAGTATAGTCTCTTGTCTTTCATAAGTGACACTAAGTCAGGACATGAGCCTTCATGTGGACACCTTCCCCAGTCTGAAGCTAAAGATGAAAAGATGGCTTGACCAATGCAGAGGAGGCTGCTAGAGGAGTCATTGGACGCACATGTCCCGCCGGGTGGGGTGGGACTGATCATCAGCTGCAAAAGGCAGCACATGATGCCCCAAGCCATCCTGGAAGCTGGAAGGGGCCCCCCACACCCACCTTTCCGCACGTCTTAGGCCTCATGTGCAATCTGACCTGACTCACTGAACAAAGACAGACAAAACTGACTGATGGGAATGAGGTCACTGTTTTCAAAAGAAGTTTCCTTTCATTTCTGTAGGTTTCCCTGGCATCAGAATTCTACATGGGAGTGTAGCAATTTAGAACAAGAAGGGTAACCTTGGATTTCTGCCTTGGCAAAGTCACCATTAACTATGTAACTCTGGTCTTTTCTAGACCTAAGACACTGTATCTACAAAATTGAACCAGTTAGTCTGGATGTTCTTTGAAGTTTCTTCTAGACCCAAAATCTTAATTTCATGTAGAGTTATCAGATTTAGCAAATAAAAATATGAGATGTCATGTAAAATTTGAATGTTGGCTAAACAATGAATAATTCTTTAGTATAAAGATGTCCTATGCCCTGTTTTTCATCTGACAATCCTAATTCCAGGATCTATCCGCCTCTCCAGAATAGAAGCAGATACTCTAGCCAAATGGAAATGTCTGGTTTTGGGGGAAACGTCTGTCAAAGTCAGTAAATTCTTCAGCAGATATATATCAAAAAACATGGGCTCCCTTGGGTGGCTTTACCACCCTACTCCGATTGGGCATAGAGGTGAGGATGAGAAAAACCCTCTATCTTGACCAGATTACTGGAAAAGGCATTACTCATGGTAAGTGTGAGCTACAGCACCACACTTCTCCCTCCTAACCCCCGCCTGAATGGTTACTTGAAGACAGGATTTCTAGGTACCACAAAAAGACAAAGCACCAAGAAGAAGACGAACGGAAGAATAATGAGTGGAGAAAAGAAACACTCTGAGGTTCCCTGATAAATAATCATGAACAGATGAGTTTTAAAACATAGCATAAAGTCCAACCAAGAACAAAAAATGAGCCGGGCAACAAACATTAAGGCCCAGCTGGGAGAAAGCAAAGCCTGAGAAGACTGAGCTCAGAATCATGGAGACACAAAGGCCTTCCTGGTCTTGGCTCTGTTTTTTTCTATATGAATTGTATTTTCTGCTCAGAAATAGAATCAGGGTATTTTCTTTTTTGTTTTGGTTTTTGGTTTTTCTCCAGTCCCAGGAATCAAACTCATGACCTTGTGCTTGCCAGGCAGGCGCTGTGCTGCTGAGCTAAATCCCCAGCCCCAGAATCAGGATATTTTCACCCAAACCTCATAGAATGGGCTTATGCGTTGTGAGAAGAGAGCTGGTTTCCAAACTAAGAGAAGAAGGGGATATTAAAAGAACTACAGCAGAAAAGCAAGCACACTACACTGTCACGTATCTGTGCTTCTGGATGGAATTCTACTAAGACCATTTATAGACACTGGCTATTTCATGCCAGTCAGGAATGGTAACTGTCTGGTTTTGTTCTTTTCATTAATTAAAGTGAGAAAATGAGTAATTTGCTCTTCCATAGAGTCAGTGCTTTGATGTATATTATATCTTTTGAATATTAATACTTGAGATGAAAAATCTGGGGACTGCTGTTACAGCAGATATTTATTGAAAGTCTACTGCGAACTTGATCTTGTACTATACATTTTTACAAGCTTCTGAACACGTCCTCACTTCCTCTGCAAGGTAGGTGACATCATTTTCTATAGGAAAAGAAAATGACCATCTGATAGATTAGTGGCTTGGCCAGCTTACTTAACTTGCTTGTAATCAGTCTGAAATACCAGCCTGTATCACCTGACTACAAATTCAATGTTCTTCTATGTCTTTTTAAGGCAAAGAAGCCAACCTACTAATGCAAAATCTGAACAAGCTGCAAACACCTGAGGAAAAGCTTGATTTTTTATTCAAGAAATATGCTGAATTGGTAAGATCTTTGATTAACTTTTTTGTCAGAAAGACACTGTAGTTAGAGCTTAAAAAAAAGGATACTCTTAGTTTCTCATATATATCATTATAGACCATATCTGTTTACTTCAGACAAGCCAAAGCTAGAATTCATAAAAGAAGAATTTTTGAAGAAAAGAAAAACTGACAAATAACAGCAAGCAGGAAGGAAGGAAGGCAGACAGGAAGAAAGGAAGGAAGGAAGGAAGAAAGGAAGGAAGGAAGGAAGGAAGGAAGGAAGGAAGGAAGGAAGGAAGGAAATAGTGTTATAATATATTCAATTATGTATATAATTTTGGAAATGAAATATTTCTAGAAGTATAAATAACTCAAAATTACAGAGATTTTAAAATTCTTTTCAACTCTTCAATGAAACAAAAATATTCTCAACATAAAGTTAAACAATCTTAAACTTTAATTCAATTATGTACCAAGGGTTTCAGGAGTTATACAAGGGAGGAAGGCCGAGTACATACCTTGGTTCATGGCATGTTTTTTTCCCAGTCTGATCCCTTCCCTACAATGGCAAAGTGCTCCATGTGGGTCGTTTGGTGTCTGGTTCCGCACATGCTCTACAGGCAGCCTTCCTGTCAATAACCAGCATTGCCATCCCCTAGCCAACAGCAGGAGGAAGCCACTCTGAACCACCCAAGGGTTCTTGAAGGGCCTTGGCTCCTTGGTGCTTTACAATTGGTCACTTGGAGAAAAGCGAAGGGCTTAGTGTGGATGGCACATCTAGCTGCAGTGGACTCTCACAAAATGTTTCCAAAATGAAGATGAGTGAGAACATGTCTGAGACACTTACACTCTCCCCATAGATTATGGGACTCACAACTGGGATGTGATATCTTCTAGAAAAACTAAACAGTGCACGGCTCTTTTATTTCTGCTTCTTTTCTTTAAAAAAAAATTAATTTATTTCTTCTAGAGAAGTAATATCAAGAGAATAAAATTTAAGGTTACACAGAGCAAAACCATCCTCCAGGCAGCTGGCTGAACTGTATCCCCTCACTTGGGTAGATACATCTTATTGCTAAAGAAGCTCCAGCTTGGGGCCTCTCACTCACAGGGCCCCTTCACCTAATTATCTTCACGTTTAAGGACCTCCAAAACTGCATAAGCTTCTGACATACAAACTCTCCATGCTTAATTAATGGATAAAAATTTCATGAGTAACTTGTTTTGTTTCTCACTCTGACTTAAGTACTACAATCCCTAACCATCTTTTCCTTCCCTCTACCTTGATACTGCTGTCATGCAATAGACCTAAGGCCCGACTGCTTAGTTCTGAGGCCTGAGGCCTACTTGCTTCATTCTGCCCATAATACCTTTTCATTAAGTTTGTTTTTTGGTACTGGGAATCGAACTAGCTACCTCACACTTGCCAGGCAGGCGCTGTGCCACTGAGCTATATCCCCAGCCCCCTTTTCATTAATTTTAATCAATCACATAAACCGCACCATGATGACAGGAAAGTGCTGAGTGCATAAAACAAAATGAAAAAGTCTCGAATCCCATCACCTAAAACTCAGACTGTTTTATGAATGTTCCTTTCCAGTTCCGCTATGCATGCAGACACATCTTACACTCACTGCTCTAAGGTACATAAGAGTTGATACCTGGTTGTCTTGGCTCACACGGCACACACATTTTCCTTGTAGTGCACAGCCTTCATGAGGATGTTTTGGAAATGTTGTGTCATATTACATTACATGGCTTTGCGCGTAGAGTCACTAATTTGAGGGACATTTAGATTCCTCCTACTCTTTCGCTATACCACATGCTGCCACAGTGAATGTCACCATGCATTAAAGCTGTTCCTTCTCCTTTCTGATTTTAAGAGAAAGCTCCAGAAATGGGAATACTAAATCAAACAGGACGGGTGCTTTTTTGAGTTTTAAGCTTTATGTCTATATTGCTTGCCAAAAGAGCAGTAGGATTTACAAAACAAGTATATCAGTGTAACTGCACTTTGTTTAGCGATGGGTATTACCAATTTAAAATACTGCAAAATAAGTCCGGGTGTCAAAAATATTTTCCCTTCAGATCTGGCCCCACTTCCCCCTCCTCCTCGCTAGTCTCACCTCTCCATCCTGCCTCCTTTTAGTGCTCTCCCCGTTGGCTGGCCTTTGCCCTTCTTTTGACCCATTCTTACCGAGTCACTTTCCAGCGCCATGTTCTATACTTGGCCGGACTGAGCGGCGTCCCAGACGAGCACAGATGCTGTTCACAGTGCTGTGTTTCTACAGCAGCTCTCCAGCCCGGCCACGACTTCTGCATCAACCACGATTGTTCACCCCAGTCTCAGGGCTCTCTCTGCCTACTCACCCTCTTACCCACGGTTCCTCACTAGGGACCCTAGCTCAATTCAGATCTTACTTATTATATTTGGGCATATATCTCATCTCTTAATAAATTTTAAAGCCCAAAAGATCACTCTAGAAGAAACGATGAGAAGAAAATTGACCCAGAAGACCCACTACATTTCCTTTTCAGAAAAAAAAAAAAATTATGAGGAACTCCAATTTTTACTTGGAGACAGAAACATATTTCCTGCTCACTGATTTGTGTATTAATGAGAAAATGTCTGAAACATAATTGTTAATATAGAATAAATCATCAACTTCAAAGCTGTGAATCAAACTGCCACTCTACCTCACTCATCCTTACAAATATGAATCTTGTAATAGTATCTGCCCTTGTACTCATTAATAAATAAGGATGAGTTCATTAATAAATAAGGACATCTCATGACTAAATTAGGAAATGGTGTAAGAAAAATATTTGCTTCAAGTGTTATGCAGTTAAAGTAATATCACTAATACAATTCTAGTTTAGTATTTGGCATCAGTTTTACTTAGCAAAGAGAGCAAGTGCAAGGGAGACTGTAGGTAAAATCCTACCTGCCCGTTACAGTTGTACAGGAGCAACCATCCCTAAATGCATCGCAAATCACAGCCAGCATTTGGCTGAGGTTGGTTGTGTTGCTATATGCTAGCCTTCATTCATTAAGAAATTCCATGCATTCATATGCATTCACAAAAGTCTCAACTATTTCAATAAACTCACACACATACACACACACACGCACACACTCACACACATACACAATGAGCAGCACAAATCATCTCTCTTTCAATTTTTAATATGCACATAGGGTATCTTCCTCCTGACACTCAGAAAAAGCCACATAAGGCAATGCTCCCCAAACAGGCGCTTCTGCCCACCAAAGGACAATAAGCCTCTCTGTCTGAGGACATTTTTGGATATTACAGTTGGATGGCATTACTGGTGTATAGCGGATAGGGGCCAACAGTAGTGCTAAACAACCTAGAATGTACAGGATACTGCACAGTTTGAAATTATATAGCCCAAAGATACGTCAGCAGTACTGACATTTAAAAGTCTTGACATATGATTTAATCTTCAAAGGGTGAAGTATAAACCACAATAAGAATAACAATAATAACAATATATAAATTTCAAGAAAGTATATGGTCCTTTAAAATCTAAATATAAGCATGCAAAATTTCACCTGTCTAAAAACTAGGGTGCAAAACGAAGGAACTACATTTACATTATGAACAAGAGTTTAATATGAAAAATATATAATGAAGGATCATTGACTTTCCAAGAAGGATATTAGTTTTAATCAATATTTTTAGTAACATGGTTCTTGGTTTGTTTTTTTTTCCTAATGCTAATTTCCACTAAGAAAAAGAAATTGCACAAGTATGAAGATAGAATATCAATTATGTATGTTCTGGGCTTTCTGTGACAAGGGCTTATAGTGGTTATTTCAGGGTGACAGCAGGGAGGCAGGAAGAGCATAAAACAAAAGGTGAACTGAAGAAACTGTGGCGGCCTGTTCGTGTAGCTCAGGACCAGAGAAGCTAAGACATGGGTTGGGGTTTATGTGGCATGAATGTCCATTTGCACCAGGCTCTGTGAGGCGCCAGGAACAGCCTGGGTCTAGAAGCACCCAGGGCCTCTCCATGGCTTTTCCTATTAGCCAACAAGGTCACTGTTAGGAACAGGACCGTCCTGGTTTAAGTATCATTCAGGCACTAAGGGATCAGAGTCTGGCAGAGAAAACAGCTCAAGACAAAATGCTAGTGCTTGAATGTGGCCGCACTAATGGTCCGTCTGAGACTGATGCTCCTAGAGTCAATTCATCTTCTGCTACAGGTGTGTGGAGGTTGAGTCCCGTACTCCGCACAAGGACTAGGATCCTGTAAGAGTGTTACCAGAGTGAGCAGATAAAAATACATCACACCCAGTTAAATTTATATTTCAAAAAATAACAAATAATTTTTGGTAAAAATATAGCCCATGCAGTATATGGGATGTACTTACACTAAAAAATAATTCCTTATTTATCTGAAATTTAAATTTAACTGGCTGTCCTGTATCCTATTTGGCAATGCTACCCTAGAAGTTTAGCATCCTCAGATGGAAAGAACAGGGGTAAATTGGTTTCACTGGGCGCCATCCTTGGTACTTTAGTGGTGGCTACTGGAGGGGTCTGAGAAAAGCTCACCTGGGCTTGCCAGAAACCAGGGCAGCAAGATCTTCAACAGGCAAGGAAGGTGGATTGCAGGGGTGAGCAGGAGCAGGGGACCCTACAGATAGTTGCCTTTCAAAGTTTATGTGGTTGAGAGATACTGTCTCTTCTCCTTTCCCACACCCAAAACCCAAAATTATCTGTGTACCAGGAGGCTACTTTTCTCTTTCCTATTTAAAAAAAAAAAAAAGCTCTAGAAGCTTATTTCAAGGAAGAATTATGAGAACAAAATGTAACCCAAGCAGAACAAACTCTTGACCACTGCCAGAATGCAAGGTATTGCCATAAATTCTGGCAACTTCCAGATTCTGAGACGTGGGCTGGGGATATAGCTCAGCGGCACAAGCGCCTGCCTGACAAGCGCATGGTCCTGAGTTCAATTCCTGGTACAAAGAAAAAAAAAAAAAGAGTCTGTGCAGCAGATGCAATAAAAATAATGAATAATAATATAAAACCTATAAGTATCATTCTATAAAACCATATCTACAAGTCCTGCAAATGAGACATTCATGAAGTTCGTGTACTTTCACAAGGACAGATATCAGCAAAAAGAGTTTCCAAATAACCAGAGTGGTCTCCAGGTTTCGCTCCTTTTCCGTCATCTCCAAAGTGACTCCTACCATCTTCTTTCACATGTGCAAACCTGTGTCTAGCTGGATGAACATCGCACTGAGCAAAAGAAGTTAAAACTCCTACAAAAGAAACAGGTGCAAGTCCAGAAAGAAAAAGACCAGCTACAGAGTGAACACAGCAGAGCTATCCTGGCTCGAAGCAAACTGGAGAGTCTGTGCCGAGAGCTGCAGAGGCACAACAAGACGCTGAAGGTACGTGTCCCCCAGCTTGGAAAGACGCACTTTCACGCAGGCTTCAAGACCTGGGCCTCTGCTGCTTGTGGGAAAAAAAAAACCCAAAATTTTTGGGGTTTTGGGTTTCTGTGTCTTAGAGAGTTTGAAGGGCAAATGCTGGTTCTGCCACTTGCTCATTTGCGACTTTCAGGAAGTTATTTTACCTCCCTGAGCTTGTTTCTTCCTCCGTAGAATGGGCATTGTACCATCGGTGCCTAGATGGCTGAGAAATACTTGTACGGCTGGGGAAACTATATCAGGTGTCCACACAGTGCTAGATGCAGTACAGACCCTTGATAAAACACCTGCTCATTAGATTGAGTCTATTTTGAAGGTAGCCCATAGTCTATGATGTAAAGTATTTGTAAAAAGTCAGTATCTTATATCATAATGATATTACCATATTATAGTATATAATTATCTCTGCATGGCATGAGATAAAGAGGCACAAAGCTAATTGACATGAAAACGTGTGAATGAGAGCCAAATGTCAATAGTCATCTGAAAAGAAGAAGCTACTTGAAAAAAATACCGCAGTTCTTCAGACTTAATTATTCAATCTAAAAATAATAGACTGATCACTTCACTCAGTCTGCATGGGTTTCATTAATTACAGTGTAAACCCCTCGCAGTGTGGTTAATTTGATTACACACAGACACTCGTTCCATTCAATAAAGCATGATGCAGGGCTCTCCAAGATAATGCCGTCTATGCTCACAGTACCCTTCCCACAGAAGATCCCAAAGCTTTTATAAACAGTAACTGATTAAACACCGATATTCCTGTGAGACAGCCACTACTGGAGGTGTTCAAAAGGAGTTACTGTGAGAAATAGAGACATTAAAATCGTTGCCGACTTTCTACAAAGAGTTAGCTGGAAAAGTAAGAAAGGATAATTGTTCCCCATACTCCACATCGTCTTTGGTGTCTAGGAAGCAGGAGGCCAGTGTGACGAACTCTAATTCTGAAACTACAAGTCCGAGGAGATGAGATTCCAGGATCTCTTCAGTGACTGCACTAAGGACCATCAGAAACACAGACTAGATGGGAGCCTGGAGATAGGAAAATAATTCTTAACTCAAAATATGTCTTCAAGTAATGGTATTCTGTGTCTGTAAGTCTTCTGGCTTAGGAAGTGAGGAGATATCAGCTAGTAAACCTCTGAAGAATATTATTTTTTTAACCAATTACTATAATTTGGTCAGATTCAAACTACAAATTTTGCTTCTTGGACGACAGCTAAAACTCACTTCAGTTCTTTTTTCTATAGCTAGGCTGCTTTGAATCTATCCTGCACACCTGTGGTTCACAGTTAGATATCTGGGCAGGGTTTATGCACAGAATTTAGGGTTCTCCCTGATCATTTCCCAGGACTCTCCCTCTCCCTTTTCAGTGGCTGTAGATGTCTAGACTTCTTACTCCTTCAGACCATAAACACAATAAGTTGGGAGGATTTCTATGAAAGTTTTACCCTTCCCACTCTTTTGCCAATTATAGATTTCCTTCAAGCTAAACAAGGTAAAAATTGAGAAACAGTCATTTTATACAGGTGTCAACTTTTTTCTAGAATCTGTCTGATTCTGTTTACCCTCCAATACCTTTAAGTAGCTGTTTCTCAGATTTTGTCAAACTTTATAGTGTTATCTGTGGAACAGTCAGCTTATCTGTCTCACCAGTGAGACAGCATCAACACCTGAATCTAAAATCCCATGTGCTAAGAGCTCGGGAATATGCAGAAAGAGAATGCATAACCACATCTTTTTACAGTCATAGGCCTTATCTTTAGTCTTCATTAAAACTGCTTCTTTGGTGAATTAAATATACACAAACCCCCCACAATTTAGTATAATTTAGAAAGACCCGTGAAAGTCTGAGACATGCTTGTTTCCACAAAACTATTCACTATTAAACACTATTAAATTTTTTAATTTGCTAGATTTATTTATACCTCATCAAAAAACAATACATTGAAAAATGTAAGATGCCCTTTTGTGGGCCCAGATGGGGTGCTATGATGGTCTGGTGTGTTTGATGCCATCCTAACATATGTACCTTCTTTCCGTACCCAGCTTCTGTGAAAGGCTTAGATTTTTCTGGGTAGTATGCAGTGGTTCTCTTCTTTACTCGTTCATTCATGGATGAAATACGTATAAATGCAAATGGAATTTAGATCGTGTTCTGTAATTCTATAATTCAGATCTTGTTGGCTTCTAAATATATCAAGAAAGGGGAAGTAATAATCACTATAATATGTACATTCAGTTGCTCTTCACTGACAGCCATCATTTTGATAAAATATATACAGCAAGCACTAGTATCCAAAATTCAGGGAAACAATATCTGAAATAGTTAACTTCTTCAGGTTAGGAAAAACAGATATCTTCTACAAATCCCTGAGAAGTTGTCATCTAGTAAAGTTTACAAATGAAAGAATTATGATTCTCATGGCCACTTTAGAGTTAGAAAATGTATTAATATTACATAGGAAAGATGGAACCCAATGATATTTCCAGAGCATATATTTTCAGCATCAGTTTTTATTTTGATCACATTATTCTATCATAATAAAGATTTGCGAAATTACTTCTGTTAGCATAATTATTTCTTTTAAAAACGCTGTTACATAATTTGAACTTGGGAAGCCACAATATAATTTTACTTGTCAATAATGAAGCGAGCTTTCATATTAACAATTAATCAGAACTGAAAGGAGTTCCGAAATGTCTGCATCATTTGTCTGTGATGTGTCTATCTTTGGTATAATGTAGCAAGATCAAATCCTTTCATGCTGAAAGAATGATAAGGACAATCACAAAGCAAACAATCCTCAATCCAGATAGAGACTCCGAGCACATTGTTAGCGGTTAGTAATGAATGGAGAGTTTTGAGTTAGAAGAAAAGAGAACAGAAATAATATAAAAGTTAATTTCCAATTCTTCAATGCTAACAAAGAGTAATGAGGGAAAATTAGATGTTTCATCTTAGCATTAAAGAGATTTGAAACTCAATAGTACTTTCAAATTCAAAATTTACACTGAATATTTCAATTACCCTATGTAACACATAGAATGATGCTTCTTCCAGAAGTAAAATTTCCAGTACCTTTGAAAAGATTTTCTTTTATATTTTTTTGAATAGCTTTTATTGGTCTATAGTTATCTTAGTCTCCTTTATTAAGCTTTCTGATGAAAGTACTTTCTTCTTATTAAGAGAAAGTTTATTTTGTGATCACTTGTATTTACAAAACTTAGCCAACACAATTATGTGGTTAATATGCCATGATTTTTAACAAGGAGTATGAGAGCTCTCAGTCTTCTACTAGTACAAAATCAAAGAAACTTATGATGTGTCCTATCAATCAAGTAAAGCCGAGTAGCCTTTATTCAGCCCACAGCTAGGAGAGCAAAACCGTGTGACTACACATTTGTCAGAAACCACTGCAGTTCATTCACTCAGCAAGAGACCTATCATCTTTAAAACAAGCCTATTCATCACCGAGATCAAACTCGAGGTTCTCACAGCACCTGCTCTGAGTGGCTATATACTCACAGCTGCAACCTTTGCTAATACATGTATTTTGGGGCTGAGCAACTTTAGCTTAATGAACTGAGAAAAAAAAAAATATCTCACTAACCTCATTTTGGGTTGTCCAAACCTGGGGATCTTTTAAACCACTACAATAAAATATTTGCCTTTTATCCACAGGAAGAAACCCTCCAGAGGGCACGTGAGGAAGAAGAGAAAAGAAAGGAGATCACAAGTCATTTCCAGACTACTCTGACAGATATTCAGGCCCAGATAGAGCAGCAGAGTGAGCGAAATATGAAGCTCTGTCAGGAGAACACAGAACTCGCAGAAAAACTGAAAAGCATCATCGATCAGTATGAACTCAGAGAGGAGGTGAGGGCCACATCAAAGGCTTTGGATTGCTACATATAGATCTGGGTCTGGGTTGTGAAGTTGGAGACCTTGATTAATAAGAAACTTATGCACAAATCTGAAAACTGATTAATTGTTAGGATTGAATTTCTTTTGCTGGCCAAAATAAAGACAGATGGTAGTGCAAAATATCTGGCTGGAAGTGCTATGGGATTTCTTCAAAACTGGAGTCACTGCAACATAAAGGCAGTAAGTAGGGTAGACTCAGTTATCCTTGAAATCAGTATTTCTCAGCCCTTTAAAAATCTTTTCTATGTTTCAAAAAAATAACCCATATTCGCTTCTTTAAAACTATCATGTCAGGGCTGGGGATTTAGCTCAGCGGCAAAAAGCGCCTGCCTGGCAAGCGCAAAGTCGTGAGTTCGGTTCCCGGTACCGGAGAAAAATTTAAAAAAATAAAAATAAATAAATAAATAAAAAATAAAACTATCATGTCCTCTAATTAAGGGTCTGAAGTCTACGTATCCTATAAGCCAACAGTGTTAATAATGGAATAATTATAATAATATTTATTTTATGCTTAGTTTGTGTCCGACAGTATGCTAAATTCTGAACTTGTGTACAGTATACCATTTCTTTGCCTCAACTTCCTTACGCACTTGAAAGTGCTCTATTTCCCACATTTTATATATGGGAAGCAGAGGCTCTGAGATTAAATCACTCATAGTCACAAAAAAAAAGACTTTTGCTGTCAGTGGTTTACAATAGATAGATAATAAGGGTCTTCTGTTGCCTCAGAATTATATTTTAATGTTTAACATGTTTTAATACCCCAGACACCCCTCAAGAGTTTGATATATTTCTTTCCCCTCCCACTCAAATTTTACATCTCTACTTCAAAAAGTAAGATAGCATAGTTAAAGTAGCTCTGTTGGCAGTGTGCTAGGACTCTCAAGAAAAAGACCAAGCTAGTAGAGTAGGGTCATAACATTACATAAATAAGGCAACTCCTCACAGTAAGCCAAAATGCCATGCTACCATTTTATCTCATTACAAGGATCAGTCACCACTCCAAAATGGAGGTTCACACTACAGCACAAGGGAAGAAATGAAAGTAAAATGTCCACATTCTTCCAAGAGACCTCTGGTGGAATGGCTTCATAAACTAGTTATGCAATCCTGGGGTTGATTTCTTGTAAAGCCCAAGGACAGAATTTCTTTGTGTTTCTTTGTACGTGTTTGCTGCACATAATGGTTACATTCATTGTGGGGAGCTGGTGCTTGTACATAATATCTTAATTTTTTAAACTTCCCTTGCCTTCCCTTCTCTTGCCCCTCCATGTCTAGTTCCCTTTCGCATTTGCAAGGGTTTATCTCTCTTTCATATTATCAATCTTTTATTTTGCTCTTTAAATTATTTATACTTTGGGTTGCTCATATAAGAGAAAGCATGTGATAATTGTGCTTGTGTCTGACATACTTCACTTAACATGTTGGTCTCAAGGGGCAACCATTTTCCTACAGTGATTCAAATCTATCCTCATTTATTGCTGACTAGTATTCCATATTGTATAGCTATACATGCCTTTTATCCATTTATCTATTCGTGGATATGGAAGCCACTTCCAAGAACTAATATGAATGGTGCTGCTTCAAACACAGGTATCAACGTGTCACTGTAATATGATGTCTTTAACTCTTTTAGGAAGATACCTAGAAAAGAAATAGCTGGGTTGAATGGAATTTCTTAGTCTTTTTCAGGGATCTCCAAATTTATTTCCATAGTGGTTGTACTACTTTCCATTCCCATCCACAATGTAAAGGGGTTCCTTTTCCCCTGCAGTCCACTACCATTCATTATTATTTGATTTCTTGATAAGAGCCATTCTTTCTGGAGTAAGATGAAATCTCAGTGTTGTTTTAATTTACATTTCTCTCATGGCCAATGATGTTGGGTATTTTTGCATGTATTTAGTGGCCATCTGTATGTTTTAAGAGAAGTGTCTATTTAAATTGCCCATTTTTCACTAGGCCTTTTATTTTGGGGAGGAGTCCAAAATTTTTTGAGTTCTTTGTACATTTTTTATATTAGTCCTCTGACTGAGGAGTAGCTAGCAACATTTTTTTCCCATTCTGTAGTTTGTCTCTTCATTCTATTCTTTTTCTGTGAAGAATCTTTTTAATATAGTACCATTTGCTGAATCTTGATGTTATTTCTTGTGCCGTCATGGTTCTGTTCAAAAAGTCCTTACCTATGCCTGTATCTTCAAGAGTTTCACCTAATTTATCTTCCAGAAAATTAAGTGTTGTTTTAATATTTAATCTTTGATTCATTTTGATTTTAGTTTAGCACATGGTGAGAGATATGGGTCTAACTTCAACCTTCTGTGTGTGTATGACCGGTTTTCCCAGCACCATTTGTTGAAGAAGCTATCTTTCCTCCAGTGTATGTTTTTGGCCCTTTGCCAAAAATCTAATGACTGAATTGCCTGGGATTGTTTCTGCATCCCTTTTTCTGTTTGACTGATCCAGTTTTCTGGTTATGTCCCAGTACCATGCTGTTTTCATCACTTTAGCTTTGTAATATAACTTGAAGTATGAAATTATGAAACCTCCTGCTTTGCTTTTGCTGCCCAAGTTTACTTTTGCTATTCTGGGTCTCTTCTGATTCCATATGAATTTTAGGATTGTTTTTTCTAGGCCTATGAGGAAGGTTGTTAGTATTTCAATTGGAATTGCATTAAGTCTATATCTCATTTTTGATAGTTTGGCCAATTTGACAATATTTGTTCTTCCTATCCAGGAAAAAGGGATATCTTTCCATTTTCCAATGTTCTCTTTGATCTCTTTTTTCAGAGTACTGAATTTTTCTTTGTAGAGTTCTTTTGTTTCCTTGTTAATTCCTAAATGATGTTTCTTAAGGCTATTATGAATGATATTTCTTTAAGGACAGAATTTCACATGTACTCTTTCTAATGGAACCTCCCAATAACTAAGAAACTCTTCACACTGAGATAAGAGATGGACACTTCTCTTCATCTGGCAAGCCCAGAGGTCAACAGGTGTAGAGGACACTGCACATCAATTGATGCAATATATCAATCCATCTGTGAGCCTTGGTCCTAGAACCTCTACCTATGTTAGCTTTCCATTATTAAATACCTGAGATAATAATCTTATATAGAAAAAAAGGTTAGTTTGGCTTACAGTTTTAGAGGTTTCAGTCCAGAATTAACTAGCTCCATTGCTTTTGAGCCTGTGGCAAGGCAGCACATCCTCATGGAGAGAAACATGTGGTAGAACAAAGCTGCTTATTTTGTGGCAAACAGGAAGCAAGAGAGAGAAAGTAGAAGGGGTGGGGGTCTCACTACACCCTTCAAGGGCATGCCCCTAATGACTAGAAGAACTTCCACTAGGCCCCACCTCTTATATTTCCTACAACCCCATAACTGCACGAAGCTGAGCACTAACCCTTTAGCAGAGGACCTTCAGATGACATTTGAATTCCAGACTATTACACCACCAGAGCAATAGAGAATTCAGGGTGATAGTCCTCACTCCCAGCCCCAAACCACAGGCTGGCATGCCAAGCAAGACACTCTCACAGTCCTTGAGGCAAAAATGTAGAGAACACACCATGATAAGCTCTATTAATACTGTGGTTAAAAGAGGCTTTATATTCACAGAAAAAGCCAAAATACTAAGTGACGGTGCTATAGCCCTTGTAGTATAGATTCACTGTCTATGTGTCTAGAATAATAAATACCAAATGGCTACCAAATTTAGAAAAATAAAGTTAGGAGTTTTAGGTATGCTGAACCCTGGTGCCTCCACCTTTTCCACCTGTTTGTATGGTGCAGAGGATGTGGGCCTTCATCAATTTATGGCTTCATATAAGGCCCCGTGTGATGCAGGTCCATTTATTCCTCCTTTATTTTTTAAGTCTTAAAAATCTAAAGAATGTGTGTTCAGGTGAATTATTTTTTCTATTTTGCATTTTTAAGAACCAGCACTAAGCCATGCTTTCTACACTTATTTTATTTTTCCTTAGCACCTGGACAAAATATTTAAACATAGAGAACTGCAGCAGAAGCTGGTGGATGCGAAACTTGAGCAGGCACAAGAAATGATGAAAGAAGCAGAGGAGCGACACAATCGAGAGAAGGAATATGTACTTATCCTTTTAGTCGGTGTGCATATCTGGTCTACCTAGGTGGCAGAAACTCAGTTTTGATAATGGTCAAGGAGTACTCCATTGATTGAGGAAGAACCTGAGCTTCTCTGGAGAACTTAATGAGGCTGCTTGATATGAAGCCCTGTATCGACACCATTTCCCACATAGAGTAGCCATTCAGCAAGTATTTCTCAAATGTCTATTATCTGCTGAGCACTATTTTTGGTCCTACAGTACAGCTGTGAACAAGGCAGAGAAGGGCCATCTCCCATCGTGGAGATTATAGAGTTTGACTAGGAAGAGACAGGTGGTAACAAGCTAACATACAAGGAGGGGTAATTCCAGATAAAAGTGCTATTAGAAAAATGAGGAGAAACTGAGAAGGGACCAAGGTGGGGGCAGTAGGTTAGACCGGGTGATCAGAAGGCCTCCCTGAAGGCGGGATGCTGCAGAGAGTCATCACCAACAGTGTCTGCAACGGTGACAAAGTCCTGAGGCTGAGAACAGCCTGGCACGCTCCAGAAATAGGAAAAGGTCAGCAAAGCAAGAGCCTGTTGACCAACTGAGAGAAAGATTCAAAATGAAATTGCAGCAGCAAGCAAGGGTCAAACTGTGTAGTTTTGCACAGCTTGAAAATTAGTTTGGATTGTATTCTAAACATAATGAGAAAGTATTAAGCGGTTTTAGCAAAAAAGTGACATGACCTGCTTTATATCTGTAAAAGATTAATTTAGCTCCCGGGTGGAAAATGGATTACAGAGGAACAAGAAGAGAGGAGGTTATTATAGCAATCCAGACCAGATACGATAATGACTTCAGTTAGGAAGGAGGCAGCTTGGAAGGGCAGATAGAGACGGATAGAAGCTTCTCGATGTACACTGACAGGCAGTGCTGTTGCTCTGAAGAAGATGGCAATGAGAAGCGGGTGAGTCAAGGGTGATGTCCGAATTTTGGACCAAAGAAAATGAATGGTGGCGTATACTGATCTTAGCAGCCCCAAGCATCCTCCAAAAACCGCAGGACCTCTCTGTGATGTGAAAAGTGACGTTTAAATAGGATATGCAACTTGTTTAGGGTCATACACAGCTAAGTGACCGAGATGGGTTTTAAATCCAAGAGCATTTGTCCCCAAAGCCCAAGCTTTCTGTAACAGCACTTCATACTCATAGGTGGGTTACAGATGTTTAAACTAAAGCAAGCATCATTTGTGGGGACAGAGAGATTTAAGACACAACCAATAAGCCAGTTATTAAAATTTGAGCATTTAGGATTTGATCACAAGCTTTTCATTTCTCTAAAATGAGACCAGAATCACTCCAATTTATAAAACAGTAATTTTAAAATAACTTCAGTTTTTAAGCATAGAAACACAAAGATGAATTGTGAAGAATACAAACTTATGACCACTGGATAATTTCAGCTGGAAATATCTTCTCTTAAGAGAAATATTATTTTATTAATCCCATCTACAATTTAGCTCACAGAGTAATAAATAAAATATTCATTATTCAAAACCTAAGAAAAATTTTATTCTCATAGATAAAATATGCTTCCTGCAGGATATCAGTACTTGGTTTACTACACATGAGGTATAACAAAGGAAGAACTGAGCAAAGATATATGTGAGACTAGAGAGAAGATTTGTGGTGACCCAGCCTTAGCAGGAAACTAGCACACTGTCTAGTTTTTCTACCCTCATTCAGCAAAACAACAGACTTGGGTCAGAAAGGGGTAGCTGCCTTAGCCCTTCAAAGGTGGCCATCTGCTTGGATTGCAGCTCTTGTAATTCATTTTGAGAGTCACAGTATGAGTCGCAGTGGGGGTTTTCCCACAAAAACAGAATACCCAGCCACTAACCTCCTGTTAGATCCGAAATCACCCATTAAAAACAGGCTGTACAACTATCTGGAGAAGCAGGCCCCTACACACATTCCCCAGATGCCCAGAGGTGGCACTGGAGTTCTATTTTGCAGCTGTCCCCTAGCCTCTCATAGGACCAATCAGCTGTACTTTACAGGCTATATTTAGGTTATAATACAATTTTTTTTTAAACCTAGAAGTTTTATACGACACATTATAGGTATGAATTTTGTAAAATAAATAAAACTCTGAATTCTTACTATAAGACCCTAACTCAAAACAGACCACATCAAAGTTGGTAATTAACATATTAGTTAAAATAACATGTTTTACATATGTATATCAGTTTCATGCTAAAATAGCATTTTCAGTTTAACACATGAGGTCCTGACTCTGCCCATATCTGACCATGTTTTACGGTGTTTGAAAGGATACCTTGTAGGACAGCGATAAAGCTTCCTATTTTGTAAACCTCCAGAGAGTGGTATTTAGAAAAATAAGTCAAATTTCTGTTTCTCACACTAACCCAAACTATATTTCCTACAAGGACAGATTTTAATCACACTCTAAGTCATTCTCTCTGTGAGGGATCTGCCTGTTAACATGTTCCTGAGAAGACTGCAATGCATGATAAAAGCCCTGCGTCAGGAAGAGGGGACATTTCTACCGCACTGGCGTGCTGCGGTAGAGCATAGGATCTAAAAGAATAATTCTGGGTTAATGTAAAGGAACACTTCCTTGCAACAGTGCTCAGGTAGGGAGGTTCTGGGTCTATTCAAGCGAGGCTGATGATGCCTAGAAAGGATTGCTAGAGAAGAATCCAGAATTTAGTGGGAGGTTCACTTTTGTATGATTCATGCTTGAGTTAGAGGCATTTTTTTTTTCCTTAAGACCACTAATCTTGGTCTAGGGATGAAGATCAGTGGAACAATACTTGCCTAGCATGTATGAAGTCTTTGGTTCAAGCACAGCAAAAAAAACCAAAAAAACAAAAAACAAAAACCCTAAACAAACCAAAACACTAGCTTTTAATTTAAAATGAAATATTTTAGACTGTTTTCTTAGCTTCCTTAGAATTTTTTATAAGGTCTACCAAAAAATACTGAAGAAGCGTCACAGGAAGAAATTGCTTTATGTACACATTATGGGCAAATGATCATCTCAAAAACAAATCGCGTTGTTTCCATGCATTCTCTCTTCTCACAGCAGCTGATTCCACTGATTCTCTCTCCTCACAGTTGCTGAATCAGGCAGCAGAGTGGAAACTTCAGGCTAAGGTGCTGAAGGAACAGGAGACAGTGCTGCAGGCTCAGGTGATGCGGGAGAGAAGGATGCATGAGTGTGCTCTTCCTACTGGTTCCAAGACGATAGGACCAATGGTAGCCCAGCACTTTTCATAGGGCGAGGGACAGGGACACAGGGGGCTGGGGGTGTGCAAATGGAGAAGACCTTCACCTTTATGGCTTTTAAGAAAAACTAAAAGCACAGTACTGTATTATATCTAGGAAAAAGATGTCCTCCTTACCAGCCACCCAGTCAAAAGGTTTGTGGACGATGGTACCAAAACTGTCACAGGAAGTTAACATCCAGGTCTGCACCTATCTGTCCATATCTCCTGTCTCTTTCCTCCCCTATTACCCTACTAAAGTGCAAGAAAATGTAAACGGTTCAGATGTACCATTCGTAACTGACAATTCCTGAAATGTCCCCATATTTCATTATTATTTTTATGCAAAATAAAGTGAGCACCTAGGCCTCTGTGCTGTCAGAGCTTGGCCTTATTAGTAGAGAATGACAGGAAGTAGCAGGCAAGTCAGGAGCCATTTTTATTTGGCTTCATAGTCTCATTCATGTTTTGATTAGACTACTGGAATTCCTATTTTGGGCCCAAATTAAGGTGCCTGACATAGCTGCCTCAGGGAGAAAGCCAGGCCTGTCCATCCTCCCCCTCTCCCTTAGGGGCTCTGCCCCTCCTCCCAAACATTCCCCATCAGGTTCCAGAACCATCCTGACACCAGCCACAGCAAACTTTTTCTCTGCTGCTGGGAGAAATGTCCAAGTGCTAAGGGGAATGTGAGGCCACACAGCAAATTCACAGAAGGTCAGGAAATCAGACGCCTCCCACATTAGGCAGCATTAATTTAAGATTTGTAAATGTTTATGTGCTGACTATAGAATCCTTGTTCAACTGTAAAAAACAATACTCATTGTATGAACGAACAGGTTCAATGAATATCTTTTCATCACAAAAGAAAAAAAAAAGGACAAAATTTTAGATAACAGATTATACCACTGCACAGACAAAAACACAGAAAACATTTTCACATCTAACTTTCCTAAAGTATACTCTTGCAATGTGCATAGAGAATGCAATGATAAATTGTCTTCTTCAGTAGGATCTATTCTCTGAAAATATACAAAAACAGTTTTAAAGACTAATTACCTAGACACTGGGAACATGATGCTTCTGACTTTTAGTAGAATCAAAGGGCTGTGAGTTACTCAAATCCATCCTAAGGGGGTCACAAAGCCCATCACATTGCTGTGTAGGGATAGGCAAGCAGATGGGGTCTTTAACCAGGATACAGAGCAAGCAGCATGACCTTACTGTCTAGGGGTGGGGGCACCCCGAGAATCAAGCCAGGGCTTCTGATCTGTCCTTGCCTAATTTCTAAAAAAGAGCATGAGAGAAACAATGGACAATACTTGAAGTTCTGCACTGTTCTCATCATCCACTACACAGTCTCTACTATTCTATGCTAAATAAGGACAATGAGCTTGAAAAGAGTAGGTTAGTACTGTTTTCTGGGCTAAACAGTGATTCATTCAGCTGGTATCAGAATTTAAGCTTTTAATGATCTGTGGAATAAAAATATAGAGTGTGATCCAATTTCCCAACTATACGCCTCAAACTTGAGAAAAGCATCTCCCAGGCATTCTAGATCTGCAACAGTTCCTCATTTCTGAACTGTCCTGAACTGTGTCTAAAAACAGTGTCAGAGTCCTGATCTTTCTACAGAGAAACTGTGTGACCCTGGGAACTCACCTATAACTTTTCGGATTTTAAATCTCCTTGTCTGTAATATGAAGATCATTGTCATAAATCAGTGATCCTAGCTAGAGTCCTCTGACCTCTGTGAGGCCCATATTTTTTTAGTATTTCCAAAACAGCAGCACTTAAGGCCACAGCTACTGTAAAATGCTGTTGCTTCTAACATCATATGAGCTCTTACTCCTCAACTGTGGGTGGCAATTATTCATACATTTAATGTTTAAAAGGATAATGAGTCAGTAGTATGGAATATATGCAGTGTGCTATCAAATTATGTATGCAATGCACTTAACTCAGTGCCTGGTCCCTAAGCATGAATAATTCAACCAATATCTATTGAGCACCTACTAAATGGTTCTAGATGTTAGAGATACAGTAATCAATCAGAGAGACAAAAATCTCTACCTAAGTGAACTAACAACATAGTGTTAACAACGTTGCTAATAACAATGCTAATGATTATTGAGAGCACAAGCTAGTATAAGCTAGTATGTTATTTCACAGGTAGGAGCCGGGGTGTGGTGGCGCACACCTGTAATCCCAGCACTCAGGAAGCTGAGGCAGGAGGATCATTGCAAGTTTGAGTCGAGACCAGCCTGGGCTACAAAATGAACTCAAGCTCAGCTAAACTGCATAGTGAGACCCTGCCTCAAAAAATAAATAAATAAATAAATAAATAAATAAATATTTTTTGGTGGGCATGGTGGCTCATACCCATAGTCCCAGTTTATTCTGGAGACTGAGGCAGAAGGATCACTTGAGCTAAGGCACAAGGATCATTTAGGGCCAGCCTGAGCAACACAGGAAGACCCCAACCAAAATAAATAAATCAATAAATAAAAACTTTTAAACCTTGGAAAACAAACTCTCCTGCAGATGATTTTGCATACCACTCAAATACTTCCTTCAGTTTCACACTGTCCTTGAAGGAGAGGAAGTGGCAGGAGGCCAAGGCCTTTGTCCTCACCGCTAAGGCCCGAACAATAGAAATATCAAAGACACGTTGTCTTCTTTTCCTAGAATGAAGTCACTTCTCAGTCCTAAGACAACAGCTGGCCAGCTGAAGGCACGTTTCTCACTTAGAGGAGGGATGTCTGGCTTTCAATTATACAAACAGAGACAATAGAGGAACTGTCAGAGACGATCAATGGGGTACAACTGTCACTACAAATGGAGTGTTCGTCAGATCAATAAAGATGAGGACAGCAGTAGATGCGGAAAGCCAGTCTGACAGCACAGACACAAAATAACAGCCAAGGGAAAAGAACAGTGAGCAAACTGCTAAAAATGTATAATTGCAATCTTTAAGATCAGAAGTCTTCCCCTTATCTGCGTAGGATGAGCAGACACCCTTCTGCTCTTGCCGTAGGACTTGTTACCAAACCAGATCTCATGAGCTTGCTGAAAGCAATTCCTAGACGCAGTTCTGTTTCCTGTGCCCTACAAATGTTTTTAATTAAAACCCAGTGCTCAGTTAAAAGAATGTGTGTCTCCCTTGGCCCATGTAAAAGTGAAATATTGAGGCAATTACCATTACTTCTAACCATAGAGCAGTTTGCTTCTATTTTTGGCTCTGGCAGGAAAACCACTGCACATGACCTCTGGATGTCCTTTCTATGCTTCTCTGAAATCCCAAAGTGAGAGTAGGAATATCTCATGTGAAACCAAACATGCATTATGTCAGCAAAATAGTCAGAGGTGAAATGCTATTGAACAAGCATCCAGTTAAAAGTAACAAAACAACCCAGGAGGTGTTGGAGCTGCTTACCCAAGAAATGTGCAAGCCACATAGGTTTTGCCACTATGATAAAGAGGTCAGTAGGAAGAAGAGCAGAATATTAAGCACTGGCTGCCCAGAGGAGGGCATGGGGAGTTGTTTAATGCCCATGACGTTTCCATTTTGCAAGGGGAAAAAATCCTGGAGATTGGTTGCACAACAATGTGAACACACTAAACACTACTGAACTATATAGTTTAAAATGGTTAGAATGGATTTTTTGTGTGTTTTACCACAGTTAAATTTTTTGAAAAGTTTAGGGAAAACACTACAAAAATAAAAACAGTTTCTAGAAAAGCCTTGAAAAGGTGATGACAAGAAAGATACACTTCAGGGCACTTTGGGTGTGTCTGTCTTCCTCACGCCATAAGCCAGCACCATGAAAACATGAGAAAGGTAAACATCTCCCCAATTAACTCACCAAGAGACATTCTGGGTTTTTTTTCTTAGTAACTTTACTTTGAGACATGATGGAAAAATAGCCTACAGGTACACATGAAAAAGCAAGAGGCATGTAGTTGGGTGTGGACTATCTCACCAGAAAGTTTTAGCGCCCATCAGCTTCGGTGGAAGCTGAAGTGCTGGGTGTGGTTGTTTCTGCTAATTCTGTCAAAGTTGCATCTGGAGAGGGGCCCAGCCGTGGGCTCGCCCCTGCCCTTGCCTGTCTTCAGCCTCCAACTCCAGCTAGAAGAGCAGGCTTGGGAGGATCAGCTCAGGGTCCCACAGTTTCTGAGACCCCCATGTAACTGTGGAATTACTGATAAATCTGAAAAAAAGGGAAGAAGTTAAGAGGAGGGGCTTGGCTAAGATCACAAATGAACAGATTCTGTAATAGAAGAGCTTATTACCTGCTAGGGGTAGTTTTTCTTACCAGAGACAACTGCATAATGTGCAGTGAATGTAGGTATCCAGCCCAATACTAGGGTAGAGTATCTCAAACTAACAGGCTGTCGCACTTCACTGCACACAGTAAGAGTAAATATTATCTTATGCACAGTGTGTGTCCGTGTGTGTGTGTGCCTGTGCATGTGCCTGTGTGTGTGTGTGTGTAAAACCCTAGAGCACCTTCCTGGACACGAAGTCCCTGATGCCCCTTTGTTGAGTTTTGTGTAATCTGTGTGCCAAGAGATCATAAGAAACAAATCTTAGTTCTTTTACATACTCTTATGGTGAATGAGCAGTTTCAGAATAATGATTAGCTGTTGTTATCAATTTGAAAAATGTGCACAGTACGGAAAGGATTTATGTAAAAATTTTGTTGTTTACCTCACTAAAATCTCACTATTCTGAATTATTAAGCAATAGATCATTCTAAGTAAGTAATTTTCTGGAATCTAGGGGGTTTTCTCTCTCTCTCTCTCTCTCTCTCTCTCTCTCTCTCTCTCTCTCTCTCTCTCTCTCTCTCCACACACACACACACACACACACACACACGCACGCGCGCGCGCGCACACACACACACAATTTGAACCCTCTGCTGAAGACTGATAGCCCTCCAAACTGCTGGCTTTCAGGCTGTGTGCTCTTCTCTACTTTAGAAGAGCCCTCCAAACACCGCCAGGTGGTCAGCTGGTACTTTCCTGCTGGCAACAAACCAGCCATCCCCATCTAGCAAGAGCAGCTGTGGGTGGTCCCTGTTGTTCTTCACACAAGACGCTGCTGTGCTCATGTGAGGACCTGGGACCGTTCTGGACACTCAAAAGTACCAAATTAGAAAATGGAGGCTTTACTAACCTGAATCTTTCATATTAACTCTCTCTCACTCAGAACATAACCATCCTAATATCGTTTTTAAAAGCAAGATTTTAGTATTTTCTTAGCCACTAACAATCAAGTATTAACACACTTTCCTTCTTCATGCTTCCCCATTCTCATTCCAAATGCAAGCCTTGGAATGAAAGATGAGGAGACACAATGGCTTGTCTCGGTATCCCTACAATGGGCCACACCCTCAGGAATGCTAACCCATATAATTTTCGGTGCAAATTAAGACAAGGCATCCTCCATCAAGACTCATTACTTCCATCTGCAGAAAATGAGTGTAATAAGCTAATTTTGATGAAAGGGCCATTTCCAACTGCTAGTGGCTAAACACAGTATTCACAAATACATAAAACTATGAAGTCTAAAACAGAAACGGCAATTGCATAAAGTGGTGCGCAACCTACGACTGCAGCAGCCCTTATCCAACCCTGGCCATTTCCTAGCCATATTTTTCTTCATCATTTTTGTAATGGTACTAGGGATTGAACATAGGGTCTCAGGTGTAATATTATGATACAGTGAAATAGTGAAAACAGTTATTATGTCCTTTTTCTTTAAAGGAGCACTCCACTCATGCTCAGCGACCTAGATTGATCTTGTAACAAAAAAAATACCACATGACTAACATTGTAGTGAGAATCCTTTCAATCATTTTTCTTACCACATAATAAGCAACGACACATTGTTTTGTTCTGAGAGCAGACCTAAAATACATGCACTCTTTCCCCTGTTTACAGCTTACTCTCTACTCAGGAAGGTTTGAAGAGTTCCAGAGCACGCTGACAAAAAGCAATGAAGTGTTCGCTACTTTCAAACAGGAAATGGATAAAGTGAGTATTATTTATCATCCATGAAATACTGACATTTTCTATTTTGACAGGCAATTCTTTTTGTTTATTTTTCCCTTGGAAGATATTTCAGTGCATTTAATAAACCGATGAAATGTTTATAGATAGGAATAAGGTTTGGGCTGTATATTTTATTGGTAAATATCTGGTGAATTAATCTTAGCAAGAATCCAAAAAGGCTAAGATACATTTTCAGTTTGATAAGGAATACTTCCTTTTCTACTCCATGTCTAGCTTTATAAAAGAAAAAAAAGAAAAAAAAAGTCAACCAAACTTAAAAAAAAAATCTACCAAACTTTAAAAAATCCTAATCTTCTGACAGTTACAGAAAATTTTCAATACAAACATATAAAAATAAAGTGTTAGATCAGAAAATACCATTTGATAGTATTGTTTTGTTTTATTTTGAAATAGGGGCTTGCTATGTAGTTTAGGCTGGTCTTGAACTCTGTATCCCAGGGTACCCTTGAACTCACAGCAATCCTCAGCCTCTGCCTCCTGAGAGCTGGGATTACAGGCATGCCCCAGCATACCCAGCCTATATAGCCTTCTGAAAGGGAAAGATATATAACATAATATATGAATAAGAAGTCCTAAATGAGAAGATTGAAGCTTGAATTCAAACTTAGATGTAGTCTTACTCAACAAGTCATGCTGCACAATTCACTTACCTTTCTTAAATTTTATTTGTTCCCTATAAATTGAGACATTATTTTCTTTATCTATCTCACAAGATTGTGAAGTTCAAATAAGTTAATGTACTTTAACTGGTATTTAAACTGTTTGAAAGTCTTTCACAACTAAGAGGTACTGATATTATTGGGTATAATTTTTTTAATATAAATTTTAATTTTTATTTAATTTTAATATAATTTTAATTTAATATAATGCAAGTATTAATAGAGACAATATTAAAAAGCACTTTTTACTTTTATAAAAAACAAAATTTTATAACAATAATTAGAGAATAGCAATAGTTAATACATTGTATATCACAATCTTAAAAGAACAGCTAAAAATGTTACTGAATGTACAAGTCATAGGCAAAAAAGACTTTCTCACAAAGACACAAACATGTAAGAGCACAAAAAGTTTCTCAAGACCCAATCAAAAAATGGGCAACCAAAATGTATAATGTTTACATTTTGTTCAGTTCAGTGTTTTTCTAATATAAAATCAGCGCCAGAATTGTGTTTCTGAATAAGCATCAGCATTAAGCATTTTTAAGTGTAGAAAGGATCCTTTTAGGGGGCTGGGGATTTAGCTCAGTGGCAAAAGCGCCTGCCTGGCAACCGCTAGGTCGTGAGTTCGGTTCCCGGTACCGGAGAAAAACCAAAAAAAAAAAAAAAAGAAAGGATCCTTTTAAAAGTGTCTCCATGAAATAATATGACAAATTTCACAATTAAGTGAACAAATTTAAGAGGTTAATATTTGTTAAAAGTTAAGTTCTTTACTTCAGGGTGGATCTACCCATTAATTTTTTTTTTAACCACTTTAGACTGACTGGACTAAAGGAGAGAGAAAATGTTTTCATTTCAAAATTACGTATTTTTAAATTAGAATAAATATCAAGAGTTCTTACTCTGAAGTCCATTTGTGAACTTTGGTAGTTCCCTGAGAATTCCCTGCAAATAAGGAAGAAAAAAAGCCTGATGTGCATATTTTCATTTCTCTACAGTGTGGTCTCATTTATTTCACCAAGTTCTTAAAAGGGGTTAATGACCTTAAAGTTCATAAACTACTAATTTGGTTAATATGTGATCAAAATAAAAAAAATAAAAACAAGTCGGGACTTACCTAGCTTGTCTTTAAAGCCAGAGCTCAGAGCCCGGCCTCCAGTCTCCAAGAGTGCCTGGCTTTTGGGCAGGTTGGCCCCAGATGCCTAGCTACGTATCTAAGGAAAGCGTGCCTGCTTATAAATCTTGCACAGGCACTTCAGAAGGAGGAGATCCCACAATGAGGAGTCATGAGGAGTCCCAGGTTTCAAAAACCCAGGTCACATGTTACTCCTCTCTGTGTCCCCCATAACCGTCTCAGCCTGGACACCAGCAGACACCCTGCATGTGTTGCATGAAATGAAATGATGTAGCTTCACCTCCCCTCTGGTTAGCTCACCAAAAAGCACTCCATTCTTTGTGCTTCAGTTTCCCCATCTCTAAAGTAGGGGTCAAAATAAAACGTCCTTTTGGAAATGTTTCAAAGATTAAATGAGTAATGTGTATAATCACATTTTATACACTCTCCAACAACGTACGAACACAGAGATGGAGAAAAAGGAAAGCTGTTTTTGTGCGGCTACTTCTCAAACATGCCATTATTATTAGCATTTTAATGGCTAAAAGCCATACCACCTTCCTCATTTCTCTTTAGTGAAGTGAACGATCCAAATTGCGAGCTTATTCCCAGGTCTTGGTAAAGATATTTTTATTTTAAATGAAAGAAAAAGCAACAAAAACCAGTCCATCCTTAAGCAGTTTCCTTTCTCCTGAATAGCCAGTGCTACAAATAAGTTTGTTCACCACTGACCTAGAGGAGTCAGAACTAAATCATGACTCTTCCACAGTTTCGTTCTTGACACTGACCATTTGTTTGCTTCAGCCAGCTGGTAACAAAAGGACTGCTCGTGAGGTCACATATGAAACTAATAGCTTCCCTGAAGCATTAACTCTTTGGGATTAAACTAAAACACTCTCCTTTCTGTAGACAACTAAAAAAATGAAGAAGCTGGAAAAGGACACAGCCACGTGGAAAGCCCGTTTTGAGAACTGTAACAAAGCATTACTGGACATGATCGAAGAGGTAAGGAAGTTTTCACCGCCCCATCTAGTGATAATAGTCATTCTAAGAGAGTAAATCAAACGTTGGGGGATATGCCATATTAAACTGTAATGAAAATAAAAGCAAAGGCCATTCTGAATCCCGTCCTGACTCACAAAAGTTTTGTGACCCTAAGTCACATACATATTGATTCAAAAGCTATCCTCAGAGCACTACATGCCTGCTAGACTGTGGATTCCTTAAAGGTAGTGTCTTAGTTGGCTTCAAAGTTCCCCTATGCCTTGTACCTAACATGAGCTAATGAACTGATTTGCATATACTAAGAAAAGGCACTAGCTCAAGCACCGCAGGTATGTGTTACTGTATAGACAGATGTGGAAAAATAATCTTTTAATTCCTCCAACAAGCTTTTAAATAGTGTTGTTATGCCAGGTCTGAGCAGGCACTGCAATTCTAAAGACAGAGATACAAGGCCCCTGACCTGCGAGGGGGCCTGATAGGTGATGACCTCTTCATGTCAACTAGTAAGGAAAGGTTCAAGAGGTACAGAATAACTCAAAGATGGAGATAAAGAGTGAGACGATTTGGAACATGTTCATGTACAAACACATCGTCCTTTCTAGAGAAAAGAATAGTTTAAGCAGCCAGCATCATGAATTCGTGTGTGCTGAGCTCCTGTGGTTACAATTACTGTTCTAAGAACTTATCCCAAATTGCAACCAGTTCCAAAGATATTGTCTTAGTTACTTTTCTCTCCTTGCTCGGACAAAATACCTGACACCCAAAGTGAAGGAAGGAAAGGTTTATTTAGCTCACGGTTTGTGGAGGTTTCAGTCCATAATCAGCTGGCTCCGAAGCACAATGGCATCACACAGGGTCAAGGCAACAGAAGACAGCAAAAGCAACAAAACCAAAAAAGGGGAGAGCAAGCCTCTTCTCCTCTCTTATAACGTAAGCAGTCTACCTGTGCCCCTGGACAGGTGTAGCCCTCACACCATCTCCATGCTCTCCTCTTGCATAGGATGAGGATGTTTACACAGTGAGGACCCTGGCCTCCTGCTGAAACTTCTCAAGTTGACACAATGTATTACCTGTTACAGATCCACACTTCTTACTCATCAATATAAATGAAATGGAGCTGAGATTAGCATACAGTAGTTTACCTATAAAATAGACAGGGCAGTACTGAAGATGGGGCGGTTCCAGTCCATCTTGTTCATTTTGCCACAAATTTTGGCTTACATCTTCTAAATCTGAGAATTAGAAAATCTCTCTACTTTAAGATTTGGGAGGCTCTGGACGAAAGCATAAAGGAGCCTTGTTAGCTTTCTAAAGAACAGGTAAAGGTGATTAAAATTCTACCAGATTCTAGCACACAACTCCAAAATTTAAAAAAAAAAAAAAAAAAAAAAAAAAAAAAGGTCTCTGACCAAGTATCTGTTCAGCCACCACTCTGCGGCCAGGCCTCAGAGCCTGATAGACAAAGTCTGGGACAAATAGTTTGTCTCCTGAAAGTATCCTGGAAATTTTGTTTTTCACGTCATTTTGTGTATGTGTGTTTGAATCACAGAAAGCACTGCGGGCTAAGGAATATGAGTGCTTCGTGATGAAAATTGGGAGGCTGGAGAACCTCTGCCGCGCATTACAAGAAGAGAGAAACGAACTCTACAAAAAAATTAGAGAAGCAAAAATGCCTGAGAAGGATGACCAAAGCCAGCACACCTCTGATGAAGAGCCAGAGGCAGACAGCTCTGTGACTACAGCGGTCGATGCGGAATCGGTCAACAGCGTGCAAAACGCCGTGAACAAGTTGGCCGCCGCCTTCCTAATTCATCCCTCAGCGTCGACCCTCGATCCAAGCCTAGTCCACCTGGAATTGAGCAGCCCTCCGGGAGGCGAAGCCTCTCCCCTCAACGAGCCAGAACAAGCCCTGTTGCCTGCCTCCTGGGCTTTCGAAAGTCCTCCCCTTGTCCCAGCTCCTGAGGCTGAGGCCGAGGCCGAAGCAGGCAACAAGGAGCAACCTGCCTCTTTGGCCAGCCATAATCCCGCCAAATCAGCGGGGGAGCCGGAAAGCCACAATCTCTCTACCAGGGTTCAGGCCGACCAGCAGTCCCGGAAGCCAGAGGCAGGAGCTTCCGGTCTGGCCCAGCATGCCCCTGCCGAGGCCTCCCTACCCATGCTTGACGCCAGTGGTTCCACTTATGCAGAAACTTCCGGTCAGGCCTCCCTACCCCAGGTATCCACAGAGTGTCCTGCTCATGAAGAAACTTCAGGGCAGGCCTCGGCTAAGGCCTCCTTACCCAAGGTGGAGGCAAATGGTCCCACTCATGCAGAAGCAACGGACCAGGCCTGCACTCAAACCCCCCTATCTGGGGCTGAGGCGGACAGTCCTGCCCTACCACCCCCAGCAAAGGCGAATGTTCCAGGTGGGGTGCTTGGGAGTGAGTCCAGGAGGCAGCCCCTACCAGCAGCCTCAGAGGGGCTGCCCCCGGAGGCCTCAGCTAGGTCCCAGCTGCCCCAAATGGCTGACACCAGCCTGGAGGGAGTAGATTAAGCCTCACTGTGCCTTCGGAGGCTTTCCTCTTGACTTTGCATCTTGGTCATTGCAGACTGTCTCTGAAAGAGTCATTAAGGACTAAGGATGTCAAATGGAAGAGAGGGTTAACACATCTTTGAATTTATGCAGAATACATTCAGCCTTTGCCCTTTGTTCTCAATTTATAACTGATAAGGAGCTTTTCTAATTTAATACTGAGTTAGTGTAATTTTTCCAAGTGGCAATAACACATTCTAATAGCAAAGTTTTTCATTAAGATGGTACTCAATTTTTTAATAGTAATATTTGATGTTTGAAAGACTTTTACAAGACATCAATACTGACAGTGTAATGTTATATTGATTTCTACAAGTAGTTTAATAAGCTTCATATAACTGATGGATACCAGGTTCCACTTAAACAGTATATATACATAATATGTGCACATGTGTTTTATGTATGTATATATACACACATGGACATGTGACTATATACATGTATGTGTACATGTTTGTATACATAAATGCATACATTACACATATTTCTCTCACTCCCTATGGATTTTTCTCTATGCAAAATATTTAGATACTAATCCAAAAAATCGGGGCTGGGGATTTAGCTCAGCGGCAAAAGTGCCTGCCTGGCAAGCGCAAGGTCGTGAGTTCGATTCCTGGTACCGGAAGAAAAGACAAAAAAAAAAATCATCTCTTGTATTTTTCAGGTGGGATACAGTAAACTAATGCTCTTTGAATCAGAAGTAGATTTAAAACAGAAGTATTTAGGCCATCACTGTATTGTACAAATATAAATAACCCAATGTTTTAGATCAATAAATTCAACCAATGACAGATCTGATGACAATAAATTTAACCAATGAATCAGTAATACTAATGAATCAATAAATTCAACCAATGACTTGATCTAATGATAACATAGCAGTTATATTAGACTGTAAAACTCCAGAGCACATGGACATGAAGGGGACCACAAGAGGACCTGAACAAGTGTACGTGGATCACCCCTTCAGGCTGGTTGTTCTACACTCTTTAGCCAGTTGCCTCACAAGGCCTTCCACACCAGAAGGCAGCAACACTCCTGGCAGCCTGCTGGAAGTGGGAAGAGAGCAGGGATTGAGCACTGGGAGACCTCAGACTGAGAAACGGTTTTGCCCTCTCCCTTTGCTTGTGTTGCTGATGTCCAAGACAAAATATTCACCTCTTCCTTTCCGTGACCTGGTCTGTATTCTGAAAGCAACTGCTCCTTCTTTCCAAATGCTTCCCTTTGTAGGAGAAAATTATACATAGCCCTTCTCCCAATTAATGTTAAATAGACTTATTATTTTGCAAAATAGATATCTACATAGGTTCTCAATAGGAGTGATGAGGCTTACAAAACAATGTGCATTTTCTGCTTTGGGGGTTTTTCTACAGCACAGAAGTACAAAATAAAAAATAAATGGGTCCCTACTCAAAATGTTAAAAAGTAAGTAAGGATTCAAGAGAAGGCAAAAGGTAGAAATACCCTGGGGTAAATATCACTGTTATTGCTTGACAAGAGCCTCAAATGAAATGACAGCAAAAATTAGTCTACCTGGGGTAATAAAGCAAGACTACACCAATGAAACAGGAAGAGATGAGAAAGAGAGGTGAGGCGGGAGATGGAAGGCAGAAAAGAAAAATGTCTAATCATACCTTTAAAAATTGCACTCAAGTATAAAAGTGGATAAAAGCAAGATTCTGTGCTACTCATTCAGGAAATCATTCATCAATATTGCACATGGCCATTTGCCAAGGCTCACAAAGAGCTTGTAGGCAGCAGCCATATGTTACAAGAATTGTAAACTGCATAAAATTTGTTTGAAGTAGACAGTGAGGGTAATAACAAAAATGCTAGTCAAGGGGAAAAATCAGGAAAAAGTATGTCACTATTTGAGAATCCATGTGTTTTAAAGGCTTAAAATATTATAACCATGGAGATGTGTGGCCAAATTCAACATTACTGGAAATAAAACGTTCTTTTAATTCAGAGCTAAATATTCACTATAACAATTCAGGAGGGTCTGCTTTTTTCCCTGTTTGCAGAAGTTGAACTTCCAAGAATGGAGTAAGATTAGATAATCGTAGTAAAGTCTCAGTCTGAATGTTTAGGAAGAAAAGACACCAAATGTGCCAAAATCCAGTAAATCAACTATTTCAACAACCAAAGTTTATTATTTTCATCCAAAAGTCTTTCATAGCAACACATTAGTCCCTACTGTATGTATCTTGGGCAGAGTTTCAGATACAATAATGGGCCTGAAATTTGTAAAGCTTAATATAGGCTTTGGAAGAATTATTTTAATATTCAAAGAATATTTCATTATTATCCTTTGTGTTAGAATCTGGCATTCCTAATTATAACAGAACTCATAAGATCTAAAAGTAGAACAAATTTCTAATCTTTGTCAAGTTCATGCAACTATTTTTAGAGATACCAAAACTACTTTCTAGAAGCACTAAATTTAATAATATAATTTATGTATCTATTAAAAAGGTTCTTCTCTTCCCAAACTCTCTAGTAGTGGTTTTATTCTTTTTTTTTTTTATTGTTCTTTTGTTACATTTACATTCCAATAGGATAATACCTAACAAAACATTTGTTTTTATTCTATTGTTTGAATTCCTAAGTAGAATACATGTAAAGTCAACACTCTGAAAACACCTAAATGTATGTGTGTGTGTGTGTGCGCGCGCGCACATGTATTTGTTGAGAGAGAAAAACACCAAGAGAAAGTAAACATTAAAAAGGTACCATCAAAAACCACTAAGTCCTACAAGACAGAAGAGCTACAAACAAAATACACAGTTGTTATGGTTCAATGTGTCTTCCCAAAGTTTAAGTGTTGGTAACTTGTCCTCAAATTCTTAAGGTAATGGTGTTGGAGGTGGGGCCTTCAGGAAGTAATTAGGGTTCAATGAGGCCATGAGGGCAAGATCCTCATAAATGGCTTCATAAGAAGAGGAAGAGAGACCCAAGCTACCATGCTTGCTTTCTCTCACATGGGATGCCTTTCGTCATGTTGCAATTCAGCAAGAAGGCCTTCAGCAGATATAGAATAATGTTCTTAGACTTCGCAGCCTCCAGAACTGTAAGCCAAATAACTCTATGTTCTTTGTAAATTATTAAGTCTCAGGCATTTTGCTATAGCAACAGAAAACAGACAGTGACTCCAGGTTTAATGGGAACAAACTTCAGACTCCTCTGCCTGACCATCCAGCTTCCAGTGGACAATTTTCATATGGCCAATATGTTTCTCTTCAGAACCAGTTTCCCAGAGTTCATACTTCTACAGTTTCTCTGCTATTTACTATCTCTGAGGAGTGAAGGAAGGCGAGTAGGTGATGTTGATTCATCTTTCCCCTCATGCTCCAGTTCTCCTGACTGTTCCAAGAATTTTCTCTAACAAGATTCAAAGAGGCCCAGCTGTTCTCCCTTTTGCTAATTCTCTCTTCTCAGTTCATATTGATTTGGGAGGGGCTTCTTGAACTAAGCATTTCCTGGTGTTTTGAGAATTTGTTGCAAGAACAGGGGAAAACATTAACTTTAACCACAAAGATACACATTTGTTAATAGCTTCCTTTCTGAGGTTACAAAAGCAATATTTATTGCAAAACTCAGGCTGCTTTTCTGTAAGAATAACAAGGAACAGGAGAGAGTAATTATTTCAGAAAAAATTTCCTAAGTCCATGCCTTTGTAACTCATCATTCAATCCAGTATTTGGGGAAAATAAAATAATTTAAAATATAAAAAATTTCATAAAGGAATATACAAGATAAAAATAGTGACTCTGGCCTGGTTTTTCCATGGCAAGGAGGACTGAGGCAAGTAGTATAAGGGTTACATTTTCACAAGGGTTAAATAATTTCCTTTGCTGTACATTTGAACTTGAAGATTAAAGTTATCATTCCATGAACCATGAGAGTGATATAGGAGAAAGAAACTCCTGCTAGATTATATTCCCTTATTATAGATAGCTGAAACTCTGAGTTCATGTTCTCTAAAATCGAGGAATGAATTCTGAAACTCTGAGTTCAAGTTCTCTAAAATCAAGGAATGAATTCTAGGAACAATGCAGGCTAAGAGTAGGAAGAATTTATTGAGAGAAAGAAAGTTTTTGTCTGAGAGTGACAGAAGGGAGCCCAGAAGGTTGGCTGCCCACCAACCCCGCTTCTCAACTGTGTTTTATTGAGCAAAGACTTGAGATGAGGCAGGCTCAAGGTGAGACAAAACCATAGTCTACTAATAAAATTGTGAGTATAGTTGCTTAGGTAACACTGATCCGATGGGAAGTCACAAGGTGGGTGTGAGGTGGGACAAAACTATGGGAACCAATAAGATTACAGCAAGTATAGTAGCCTAGGTAATACTGATTAAACTGGGATCAAAGGGGGAAGAAAGTCATGTACCAAGTGTGCCTGGGACAGACAAAGACTTTCCTGGAAGGGATGAGTTAAGGAGGTTTGGTCCTCCACCCAAAGGTGAGTGATGCCTATTTATATCAATCACTGTTATTCATCCCGAGGGGAAGTATGTGGGTGAGTAGTTCCGCTTTTTCTTGAAGTGTGGCCTTCAGTGAACGTGCCTCTAGCCACAGTTGTCTTCTGCACTGACCTTTATAGGGTTTAGCCCTATCTGACTGCTTACAATATTTTTAAATAACTTAGCTATCTATAATAAGGGAATCCCATTAGAATAGAAGCTTTTGTGTCCTAGGGATTATTTTTCTTGACCCTGTCATGTTGCATCTTTGAAACCTGAAGTGAAGTCTCTTTGGTGGTATCCTGTGATAGAAGTTCTGCAGATGCCAGCTGCTATTGTATGTGCATGTGTGTGCATACACAAACCTCACACACATACACACAATTACATATGTATACAATTTGTCCTAGGTTCTGTTTCTGTAGAGAGCTTTTACACCTGTAGTTTCAAAAATAGTATTGTCTTTCCTGTCAAGCACATAGTACAAAAAATTATTTCCTGTGTGAATAAGGATATTTGTTTTTTTGTTTTGTTTGTTTTTTGGTGGTTTTTTTTTTTTTGGTCTTTTTGAGACAAGGTCTCGATATGCAGCTCAGGCTGGCCTTGAGCTCACTTTGTAGCCCAGGCTGGTCTCGAACTCAGAATGATCCTCCTGCCTCAGCCTCCCAAGTGCTGGGATTACAGGCATGTGCCACCATGCCTGGCTTGAATAAAGATATTTGATAAAAATGTTTAACAAACTCCGTGTAGAAATCCATTGATCCATGGCACAGAAATTATTCACAGGAGCTGTTTAACGGTACTGGGAGATAAGAATGATAAATCACTTCAACAGCACAATCAAGATTGGCTAAATCCGAATAAAAGTCCCTCTTCCTTCTGAACTTTGGACCCCAAGATGTCTATTAATTCCAATAACTATCCAGTAACTTTAACTCTAAACTATTTTAAAGTGATCTATTATAATGTTCAGTTAACTCATGTCATAACGCATGTCATAACACACCTCCTACAGGTAAACTCATTATTTCAGAACAGTCAATTGATAACATTTTATGTCAAATAATATCAGAACCACCATAGAAGCCAAACAAGAAGACAGTTATTAAGAGAGAGAGAGAAACAAAGAAAGAGAGAGAGAGACAGAGAGAGAGAAGAGAGAAGAGGAGAGGGGAGGAGATTTTCAATCTGGTAGTTTTTAAATTAAAGAAATAAAACACCAAACCTTAAGATTATTAAGGGTTATCAAGAACAACAAAGGGAAGACACACACAAATCAGTGGACTCTTTTGCAAAAGGAGACAAGAGATGGAGGACGAGAACCGTAACAACATTACTACACATCCACACCATGTCTCCCAAGCTGGAAAATTTTTACAAACGTTTGTTAATGTTGCCGCTTTACTGTCTTTCTTCTGGTTTGCCTTTCTCAAAATAATAAATGCATTCTTTCCTGTATAGAGTAAAATTACATTATAAAACACTTAGATAGTAGAGAGAAAGGAAAAATTACCAACTGCATCACTCTAATTTAACCACTATTAGTATTCACTATACCATAGTATATTTTCAGTGACTTAAGTGTCCTTTTTACTTTAACATCATGTTAATTTGTCTTTTAGGCAGGGCATGGTAGTTCAAGTGAGAGTAACAGCTATTAATAGCTACCAGATTTGAGTGTTTACACAATGTATTTAAATTTCATGCCCTTTGCCATGTATACATAAACACACTATGTTATTTATAAATACATATGCCTATGTAAGAACAAATATGCACCATAATTACACATTGTTTGAAAAGGGCATGCGAGGCGTTGCCCTTAAACATTCCACCACACATATACAAGTTTCCATGTAAACCCACTGGAGGGGTAGAGTGAGATGTTTATATTCAACACAGCAAAAAAATAAAATAAAATGCTGACTCTAGAGAAACAAATGCAGTAGATAACAAAACAAAAGAGAAAGTCACACTGCTGTTTATAAACGGACAAGAAAGGAAATACCATAAATCAAGGCACTGGCTACATAAATGTGAAGACTCTAAAATAAATCTGAGCTCTTCAAAACTGATGAACCAGCGGTTTTGTTGCTCTGGTGAAGTGATGATCACCAATATTATCCGTATCATCTGTTAAGTAAGGCAAGGTTAAAAGCCATTGTTAACAGAAGGTTGTTCTACTACATCTACCAGGCAGATACAACAAACCATAGAGAACCAAGAGATACCATACATTAAGAAAATATGGAAGTCAGAGTTTAAATTTATAGAACAAGTATAATAGGGGTACTTTTATCCCACCTGGTCATGAAGTTCAATATATCTTAGCTGGGAGTGTTAGTAGTGAAACATATTTTAGATGGAGATGCTGTCAGTGTGATATCATAGACCATATTTATTGGAATATGTTAAATGCTCTACTGAAATCACAGACTATTGTAATGTTCTGGGTAAAGAAATTCACATTCAATTCACTTGTTAGCATTTTTGTCAAAAAACTATTCCTGAAATAAAATTACTGAAGTTCAACCAGGAGTGCAGACCAGGAAATATTTTTGAAGAGAGAGAGAGAGTGTGGTTGTGTGTGAATGTATTTGTGCAAGTGCATACTTATGTGTGAGGGCATGTAAGTATGTGTGTAGTTTTGTGCAAGTGTGCATGTAGTTTTGTGTAAATATTTATGACTATATGTGACTGTATTTGTGCATAATAAATTTACATGACCCTATGTAAATGTGTCCAGTTGTGTAACAACTTACAATGTGTGTGTGTGTGTGTGTGTGTGTGTGTGTGTGTGTGTTGGAACTGGGAACAAAAAAGCTAAAACATTGAAGAAGTAATTTTCATCACGTGGCTCGCTGGTTTTTCACAGGATCACATCTTGCTGTAGACTTCTATTTGTTCAACTAATCCTCTTTGGTTAACAGTGGCACCAAGCTCACTGTTTTTGGCTGGCAATCTCCCCTCTGAACAAACAGACAGGTGGCCGGGGCTCCAAGTGTAGTGGCAGCTGTTCATGAAATAATT